TGGTGAAGAAAAAGATGTTTCATTAGAAAAAAATATTCCATTTTAGGCAGTTTCATTCATGTTGAAATGAAAAATATTTTGGATAGTACACTAGAAGATATTAGGAAACAAAGTAAAAAAAAATACAAAACAACAACAAACATACCCCACATCCTGAAATAAAAAGCATCCTAAATGGATCCATTCAGGAAAACCCATGTTCCTGTAAGATCTGTAAGCTTCAGCCTTGTTTCGTGAGTACATTCTGCGTGGGCAAGCTGCAAGGGTGTATAAAGGAGGCATGTCACCCACACTTGATATTACAGCTTATCTACTTCATTTTCATTTGTGCACATTCTACCTACTCACGCAATTGCTACATAAACTCCCACTCAACAGCTTGCAATAGAAAGAATGCTGTTATTACAGTATTTAACTCAAGTAATAGCTAGTGCAGGGCTGCCTAACCTCTTGACAATCAAGACCTGAATTATATCACAAAGTTTATATTGGGATTTAAGTGTGAATAAGGTTTATAATGCTTGTAATGATGCGAAATTATTCAAGAGCCCTTCAGGGGATCATAGGTGGGAGCGCTCGAAAGTGGAGACCTCAGTCCTGACTGCAGCCCAGCCACAACATGAGCTGTATAGCACTATGTGCAGGCAAAACATCCGATCTGATAAAGCCGTATTTTATTGTGTCTATATGTGGGTGAGCTTAGAAAATAACTGTGTGTTTAGGGACACATAATAGTTAATAGACCTGCAATTTGCATAGGTGTCCATCAGCAACATCTCCGCAGGGCAAATGCATTAAATATGCTTCAGTGCTGTTAAAAGAGGCGCACTTAAGGCCATCACTATTGTTGTGACTACTAGTGCCAGCACTGGGTTTGGCTCCTTTTGCCTTGAATAGTGATGAGTTGTCAGAGAAAATACGTATACATGTCTTTGCTGATATATCACAAATGTTGCAATCCAGAAAACAGGATGTAACTACTGCAACATTCCTTAACCTCTGTGTGTATTTGGGATGAATCTTTTTTTCCTACCTCTTTGATGGCAGGTTGGGATATGATTGTCATGATCTAGAGGTCAGAAAAAATAAATATTCATATTCTACAGGCTGTGCTCAGCTCTTAGTTGACCTTATCAAATGCTCATTGAGCTTTCAGCCATTTATATGAAGAATAAACTCTTGTTCTGTGGTGAAGCTGGAGTGAATTCAGGGAAATTAATGGATTTATTTCTGACCTGTGTCTGCTTTGACCTACTCTGAAACTTTAAAAATTTGGTGTTCTTCTGTTCAAAAAGAGGGTCAGTTTTTAATATTTAAACATCTGTAAAGATTCTGTCCTCTCTAAATACTATAATTTTTCACAATATATAGTATTGATCAGACTACATCTAAGCAGAACAAATCCTAGTTCCTCTACCTCTAGGCACAAGAATAGTTCAAGATTATCAACTGAGGCAATTAAATTTGATGGCAGTGAATTCCATGAGACCAGAGGGAGAGAGGCGTACAGGGAACTAGCAGATGTGGTAGGAAGGAAGGCTGGAGGACTGGGAAACATCAGTGGTGTTTAAAATATATGAAGATGGAAAAGGAGTCTGGAGAATAGCTTTATAAAAGGTTTCATAGTGTGTAAAAGAGGTTGGAATGGACACTAGCATTTCCAAAAATGAAGCTCTAGAGATCCAATAGATCTGGGGGTCCTGAGAAGGAGGAAAGCAAAGCTTTCATTGTTGACATTGTGATGAATTGAGCAAAGAAATCAGGAACAAGGTGACAAGGCAGAGATTGTTCAAGTGAGATGGATTAATACTGAGAACAGAAAGACAGAGATGTGGAAATGACAGTCTCTCAGGTTAAGGACTAGTGATGGAAACAGGGAGTAAAAATAATGCAGACCGAGATTAAATAAGAAGGCTATGGAGGGAAGGAAGCTGATCTGAACATCAGTAGAATGGAGGTATATTGGAAAAGAATGCAGAGGATACTTGAAATATATTAGTACATATGTAAATAACATATTTCTGATTGTCTACATGTTTCTTGAACACTGTTTTGCCTATGGATGGGTTCAGCACAAAGGCCACAGACATCAAGTTAAAGAAGTGAGTTTATCTTCACGTACATATAGCAATGAAATAATGAGTGAAAAGATAGAGCAAAAATAAAACAGAACAAGGTAATAAACCTAATCATTACAACACAAGATTAGCTATAGTGATTAAAAAATACACATCACCAATTGCCTTAATACTTTACCATCATCCAGACCTGCAGTCTCTGGGGAACCCTGGTTGCAGTGATGATTTGGAGAGCCTTTCCACTATTTGGGAAGTCCTACACAGTGTGTTCACTTGTAGGTGAGGTCTCCAGCTTTTCTGCAAGAGGGTCCAGCATTCATATTGTAGAATTAAAAAGTTTACATAACTTCAAGGGGGGAAACAGCTGGTTTCATTCCCCTTTTTGGATGCCACCACAAGCCTGGCCAGGGCTCCATAGAGTTTGTATTCTCGGCCTTGATGCCACGTTTCTAAACAAGGAAAGGTTAATACATTCTCATAATGTTTTGTCTAAGCTATATCTCTTGCAGATGAGACATTTTATCCAACGTATATATTTCACTAGTGATCATACATATCTTGTTAATGATGAGATACTAATGTAATGTATAACACAAGGTTGTGAGGTTCTTCTAGAGGTCAACTTTGGTTCAAAACCTGTTGTTCAGGCCTTAGTACTTCAAACACCTCCAGGGATGGTGACTCCATCACTTGTTCTGATTCTTCATCACTCTTTCTGAAAAGAAATTCTTCCTAATGTCCAACCTGAACTCCCCTGGTGCATCTTAAGGCCATTATTTCTCATTCTAGTAGTTCTAGTTCTTTCATGCCGATGTAGATTCGTTGCATGACAGTGTAGTCATGCAAATACAAGGAAACAAAACATGTAAACAAAACGAAATAGTTTATTTCAGGTCAGTAAGCACTATGTAGTTGTTGTTTTTTTTTTTTTCTATCTGCACTGACCACATAAATATACTTTCACCACTTTTAACAGTTTCTTTCTGCATTTTGTTAAACTCATTACTAGCAAATGTTTTTTCCAATGATATTACTGCTTTATGCAAGGCACAAAACAACACTTTTCTAAATGTTTTCCCTCATGAGAAAAGCTGTTTCTGAATGAGTCTGCCTTGATCCATGTAAGCCATCAGAAAAGCATCACCACTGAATGACTTTTTCACAGGTTTGTGATTTCTTCCCCTGAACAAAAGCTATAGACAAGGTACGGGCAGGAAGAAATGTATAGCAGCTATACTTCTTTTATCTCATGGGGACTTGAGCAGAGGCAGCAGCAGTTCCTGTCTTGGCATGGGAATGAATGTGACTGTATGAGGAAATGCTTGGAGGAGCACTGCTCGCTGTCCTCCACATCATCTTATGTCAGCTGAACCAAGACTCTCAAAAATTTGGAATGAGTCTCTGCTGAAGGATCCTCTTTGGGAGTAAACCCTCCTGGGCAACCATTCCAAATCGTCTTCACAATGTTACTGAGTACGTTCAGTCCTCTGATCATTTACAGGTCTGGATGGAACTTTCTGAAAGCGCTACAGCAGTGTCACTCAGTGATCAGCAGCTGACAGGCAATTATGCCTCCATCAGGAACTATGCCATGAATCAGTAATGTGGAAAAGACAAATTCTGAAATCTCTCCTAGTAGCCTTTTCATTCATTATTTGAATCTATTCATACATACACTTTTCTTTCCTGGTATTCACTTGGGAAACTAGATTCTAGAATCTCCCATATTCATGTACAAACCACTGTTATTCCTCAATTTCTTACTTAGTATCAAAGCAAACAAAGGAATCTGTCCCAAACGGATCTGTACTCAGCACTGGTGAGGCTGCACCTTGATTACTGTGTTCAGTTTTGGGCCACTCACTACAAGAAAGACAGTGAGGCCCCGGAGCATGTCTGGAGAAGGGCAACGAAGCTGTGAGGGTTCTGGAGCACAAGTCTTATGGGAAATGGCTGAGGGGACTGGGATTGTCTAGTTTGGAGAAGAGGAGGCTCAGGTGAAGACCTCACTGCTCTCTGCAATGACCTGAAAGGAGGTTGTAGTGATGTGGATGTCAGCCTCTTCCCCCAGGTAACAGAGAGAGGATGAGAGGGAATAGCTTTAAGTTGTGCCTAAGGGGATTCAGGTTGGATATTAGGAAAAAATTATTCTGAGGCATTAGAAGAGGCTGCCCAGGGGAGGTGGTGGAGTCAACTGTTCCTGAAGGTGCTCAAGAATTCTGTAGACGTGGCTGACTGAGGAACAATTGTCCAGTGGGCATGGTGGTTGACAGTTGGACTAGATGACCCTATTAGAGGCCTTTTCCAATCTTAATGATTTAATGATTCTATGATTACTCCTTTTTTTACCACACTTAAAAATTAGTACCTGTTGATCTTATCTGCCTAAGAAAGATCACTGTCCTGTCAGTCATACAGTGACTAGTAGTAACGGAGAAGAGTATTTAGGCTTCCCCTGCATCATGTATCTGTAATAGCATGGCTTAGCCTTTTCCGTTTCAGTCACGCCCACAGTCTGTCTGGCACCCTGTTCTGCCAAGCTTTTAAAGATTTCTTCCTTTGCAAAAGCATTACACATTGTCAGCTTAACAGTCAGTGCGGCTGCCTGCACGTTTCCACGCTCGACGTGAAATGCGCACTGCCCGCTACTCCCTCCTTATGACCGCTAACAGAGCCCGTGTGACCAACCCCGAAACCCGCTCCCTGCAGCGGTAGCGGTTTTAAATCCCCTCCGCCCGCGGTACACGTTGGCGGAACGCTGCGGTTTGGCAGCCCCGCGGGCAGACAGCCGTCAACCATCGCTGCTCGCCCCGCAGCGAGGGACTGAGGGGGCCGCGGGAGCGGGGAGAGGATGAACTGAAGGCTGCCGCTGGGCCGGGCAGCCGAAGAAGGCTCAGAGTGCGTGCCGTGCTCCCCCCGGCCCCCGCTCCGCCGCTATCTCCAGCGCCCGTCCGGAGGTTTTCACCTGGGACACGGTAAAAATGGAAGTTTGGGTGCGGAATCCAGAGGCTCAGCCCCGCCTCCCAGAGCTGCGGGCGGGGGCGGCAGGGCGCTTATCCCGGGCCGGGACCCAGTCGGCGTGGCGCACCGTACTGCTGCGGGCAGGTGAGGAGGGCGGGCGAGGCGGGCGGCGGCGGGGGGCGAGAGGGGATCGCGAGGGGATCGCCGTGCCGCGGGGACGGCGGGCCCTGCGGAGCTGCGCGGATGGGCTCGTGCGAGGAGCCTTCTTCGGGGCAAGTGTATGAGAAACGCTCCTCTGGATTGAGCGCCCTATGTGCGCATGCAAAAGGTGGATTGCGCGCTGAAGGCAGGGGGACGGGGCTCTGTCATTTCTTGCCGGGTGGCAGTTCTGCTTCGGAGGGGTGGGTCCGTCAAGTTTTGGGGTGGATGTGCTCATAATTTAAGGGAAAGCCTTAGAAACACAGCAGTATACAAAGTGTTTGGATTTATGGGGAGAGGAATGGTGGGCTGTGTCTGTATGGGAACAGCAGGAGTTATTTTCTGTGGAACTGTCATAAAAATTCTGGGAAATATAAAATGGGATTTATTTTATGTCTAAAGGCAAGATGTAGAGTTGAACTGTTATATCACTTCTATTGTGAAATAGAGCAGTTAGCCTTGACGGAATAGAAAGTAGGAGCCTGAAAAAAAAAAAAATAAAAAAGCAATTATCAAGAAGTTCTGTCCAGAGGAGTTTCAAACTGCTTAATGCTGCTCTGCCCACTGTGCTCTGCAAAGCCTGCAGACAAGAGCAAAGCGCTGGGCAGCAAGACCAAAATTATCCATTATTCAGTTGAGGCTGGAAGCCAGCTGTGAGGTTTTAATTTTGCTGCCACAGGTCTCTTGCGGCAGTTTCATTGTTGCTTTTCTGTTCCCTGGATTATTGTGTTAGCTGATATGTCTGTTCTTATTGACAAATGCTCCTTCAGTATGAGCTGAGGATCTGAATGACTTACACTATATGGATATTTTATTGGAAGGGTAGCTCCCTTTAAGAAAGGAGATGTTACTTCTGTCTCCCAATGACATCATTTGCAATCTCATATTGTAGATAGGGTTATTACTCTGGAATTTGGTATGCTTTATAGGCGGAGCCAAAACAAACGTCTTGCACGACAACACAGATGATGTTTTCTGGAAGAGCAATGGAATTATTCAGATCAGTAACATTTCATATCCATCCTTAGTTGAGATGAGAAAAAAATGGTTCCTTGACTTAAGGAAAGTTCATTCAGAAGATGTTATGCCTGTTTGTTAGGCTTTTATGGCATGCTCAATATTAAAGAATATGGGAGCTGCTCTTGGCTCAGAGTTTAGAAGAGCAGAAGAGGAATTTCTCCCTAAAATTCTCAGCAAAACAGCAGTTACGAGCAATTTTGGTAACTCTCACGTTGTCCTGCTGTGCATAATCAAATGGGTCTTTAGGAAATGATTTGTAACAGGCACTTGGATAGATGTGTAATAATTTCTCTGTACACTGACTGATAAAAAGGATGCTGCAAAGTTGTGTTGGTCTCAGCAAGGGGCTGGTGAGAGCTATCCAGCAGGACATGGCAAACATCCATGTCCTACCTATCCTGCAGTGGTCTTTTTTTTTACACTGGCAGTACAGAGAGATGCATTTAGCGTGTTGGACTCAAACTCACATCATATGGTTGAAACCCTGGTCAGGGTTCATTCTTTCCTTATGAAATGTTGGAGGCAGTGTTCAGCTTAAGTATGGGACCTAGAACTGAAACTCAATTGAGTGTCCTAGCTACAAGGAAAAGTCATGAAGTCATGCTCCTTGTTTTTTGTTTTGTTTTTCTTTGTTAATAATGTATGCTTTTTCTGCTCTGGCAAACTGGAATGATGTAGAATTGGCTTGTGACCTGCCAGCCACTTCCCACCCAGATGTAAAGTTAACTCTGTGTGTGGCAAAATACTTCCATGTATCCTCAGTAAAATTTGTACTGGTATTAGTAATGTACTTTAATAATCTGTTCCCATGAGTGGCTTTGCTTGTGCCAATGCTTCTTCAGTCATCCTGTTAGCAGGGGGCTGGCTGCTCCTGCTGGGCACTGAGCTGGGGGTGCCCACACTGGGGTGCAGTGAGAGGTGAAGGGTGCTGGGAAGTGACTTCTATCTCTGTGCAGGTGTGTGGCTCATGGTGACCCTTCTACAAGCCCTCAGCAAGCCCTGTACAAGAATAAAACCTCTCATTTCCCCAGAAAGTGTAGGTGCATTTGTTTAAAAGGTTGCTTTTTTTTCCAGTCTTCTGGATTTCCCTGATGTTTCCAGAGTTATTGAGAATGAGTATGGTGAGGCCAGAGTGATTTTCAGTTTGGCTGAATGTTTTATTTCCTTTATTCACTTATTTACTGATTTTGAAGCATGTTAGCTACAAGAAGACACCTGAATGTGTTATATGTTAATTTTAGTATTTTAGTAGATTATACAATCTCTCAATCCCTAGGTTCCAGTCAGTGCTTAGAATATTCTAATTAATACCTATATCACACAGCTATTATAATTATTATCAGTATATTTACTACATGCTTAGAAATTTTGTGTGTGATTTTTTAAGAAATTCTAAGTTTAGCTACTGGCTGTAGCAGCTCCCAGTCTGGAGACTCCATAACAATGTGGAATCCATTCCTTTCCTTCCTCACCCAGCATTGCAGGCAGAATGAATTACTGGCAGTGGCGTTCACAGCCTCTGGTTCAGTAGCTTGGGGCAAGCCCTCAGCATTGCCTTTTCCTAAGGCCTTGCAGCAGAGCATACTTCACAGGCAGGGAGGATTTGTAGTCAGCAACTTAAACCAATTAGTATATCCTTGCTATAGAGTAGCACCACTATATCAGCCTTATCCTTCTTAAGCACCTTCTAAGCAGGGTTTTTAATATCCAAATCATTCAGACTACTCCTTTTATTTCTTTCATTTTACCAATAGAGTTTCTCACTGGTGAGAGTTTCTAAATCTTGTTATATTTTATCCAGGCACCTACCACCAGTATATAAACAATTCCATACCAATTTTGTGTTGTTCTTTGCCAGTCTGGTTTCATTTGTGACATGCAGAGCATGATACAGTGCTTGCTTCCTCTGTGCTCCTAGCTTAATGTCCTTGCAGCTACTGCAGTTGATTTCTTTGGCTTGGTAGCAGCCATGTCCTGAGGAGCCGAGCCAGTGTTCGTGGTACTGAGGCTGTGCTTTACACCAGTCCACTCCAGTATTTTACCCAGGGCTTCCAAGAAAGAAAAGAGTCAGTGCATCTCCTGTAAGTATTCAGCTGAAGACACGACGTCAGAGCTTAGTCTAGGCTTGCTGTACTCTTATGATCTTGGCACTGACTGTAGCAACTGTAATTTGTTTCTTGTTGGTACTTGTTCTGGTGTTGGGCCAGAAGAATTTACTTGTTAAACAAGCAGTCACCTGATTGAGGCTGAATTCAGTTATGGATCACTGACTTTGTGATGTTTAAATCTCTGGCTAATGCTTAAGACGCTTAAAACAAGCAAGAGATGCTGTGATGCTGTTGCACTCCAGAAAGACCGTTACCTGCTGTAATGCAACTGGAGTCAAGTGCAGGAACAGACCAATTAAGAGCTGTGTTTGGGGCCATGGAGCTTTTGCCAGGCCTGTTAAGTCTGAAAGAAGGGTGTTTTGGCATTGTTGTGTGGATGGGAAAGAGCAGCAAAGAGCTTCTTTTCATAGTGCTGCCAGCAATTAGCAAATGCTGCCCCAGACTCCTCTAGCTCTGCAGAAGGAGCCAGCTGTTCAGGCTTTTCCTAATGGCAAAATTGTCTTGAAGGTCTGCTGGGAAGAAAGGTGTTCCTAAGGTACACCCCTTACTTGCCTTGTTCTCTGGCTGCACTCTGGACTCCAGCCCTTGTATTCAGAATCCTGTTGTCTAGCAGTGTAGGAAAGACACTTAAGTACATATGATAATCTCATCATCCTTTACAGGCAACAGTGGTAGCAATTACCAGCAGTTATCTTAACATGACAGAGAGAGGAAACACGTTTGACTCTGAGATATGACAAAATAGCTATCAGATATATCTATGGTAAAAATTTTCTTTTAAATTGAGAAGCTTGCATGATCAATTAGATTATTATTATTATTTTTCTCTTTCATGCAGGACATGATAGATAGAAGAGAATCCTGCACCAGGACAGATACCTATGACCTACCTAAGCTACTTTGCTTATGTGTTGGAAGAATGGATTGCAGTGGAGTACTTGAAGAAATATTTTTTCCACATAGTCATCATATCAGTGACAATTAGTGCAATATTAGTTTTTTTTATAGTTCCTTTAACAATCCTCTTTTTCATTTACCTTACTAACGTGTTGCTTATAATATATCAGAGGAATGGCGAGGTAAAAGCAGATCCCTTGAGTGATGTTTGGGACAGTGCAAGGAAAACTGTGGCAAGCTTCTGGGATATATATGCAAGAATATGGCATGGTAAGTATGACATGACTTAACTGGAGCTTTGAATTACAGTCAGTAGTAAGTACACCTAAGTTTTAATTTTAGATATCTTCCAAATGTATGCAAGTGATTATGTGTGTGTATATATATATGTGTGTATATATGTGAAGTTGCACTTTCGTTTGGCATCTAACCAAAATTTCTCCCTCAAAGACTGCAATTTAGAGTATTTAGAATATAAGGGAGCAATGAGATTATGTACAGGATACATTTTTCTAGGTGAATAGGCAGATGCTCTTCTTTTTATATGGTATCAGAATGAAGTCCTGTATTAATGTTAGTTTTACTGAATTAAGGGCAAGGTAGATACAAAAGCAGAAATAAAATTATGTAGCTTGTTACAAACAGCTACAAAACAAAACAGCTTAATATGGGATTGAAAACAAAATAATTCATTGGAAATGCAATTGCTGTATTTTTGGCTGAGGAAAACTTACGTGTTGTGATAATATAATTTCAAGAATTGTATGGAAAAAGAAAAAATAAGATGCCACGTTTAAGTTTGCACTGTAGAAGAACTTAAAAGTAACATGGTTTTTAGTTTAATTATGCTTAACCTTCAGACATTTTTTCAGCACACCTTAGCCCCTAGGGAAATCCTCAGCCAGAAGCCCGACACCTGTTCTTTGCACAGATGTAGTTTAAGTCTAGTAGCAAGACTTAACTTGCTGCCCTAAGGATAAAGAATAATAGGTTGTTACAGTTACTTGCTGTTCTTCTTCACAGCTTTTACTCTTAATCTTTAAATATCCTGCAACTTAGAACTTCCTTAACCTATTTTCAGAACTCTGCCTGCACTGTCCTTGTCTTTTCCTCCCCAGATGGCTTGTTTATGGAGCTGTATCAGGGATGGAGATAAAGGCAGGCCAGGCGGAATAAAGTTTTTATTTAGCAGAAGCTGTGGCTTTTGCAAGCCTCCAATTTTGGTTCCACCTAAAGCCTAGATCAAATATAGGAAAAACCAGGAAAGAGATTCATAGAAGTCCATGTCTATGAGGAAGTTCCCTTCCCCCATGAAGGAATGGTTTTAACTCTCATGGAGCCAGTTTGTATTTTGTGGATTCTTTTCTGGACATAATACAAAGTTGCCATAGTTTATGTACTTACGTAAAATCAGAATGAAAAGTTCCCCAGCCTTTCAGTACTAAAGGCAGCCTATAAATAGGAGTGGAGTCAACTCTTTGGAAGGGTTGATAACAGCAGGACAAGGGGAAATGGTTTTAAGTTGAAGGAGGGAAGGTTTAGGTTGGATATCAGGGGGAAGTTCTTTACAGAGAGAGTGGTGAGGTGCTGGAACAGGCTGCCCAGAGAGGCTGTGGATGCCCCATCCCTGGAGGTGTTCAAGGCCAGGTTGGATGGGACCCTGGGCAGCCTGGTCTGGTATTGAATGTGGAGGTTGGTGGCCCTGCCTGTGGTGGGGGGGTTGGAGATTCAACCCTGGCCATTATGCTTGTGTGTATGCGCGCATCCCCTTCTTCTCCTAAACTTTTCATTCTGTCTGACACAAAATAGAGATTTGTATTTCCATATTTCAGGAAAGCCTCATAGTTGTTTACCTCCCCTTCTGATGAAGCTGTTTCATACTTGTACAGTACTGTGGGTTTTTGCTTGTTCGTTTTTTTCACAGTAGCCTGAAGAAAGTTCCAAACGGGCAAAATTTTGCAGTGATGTGATTAAACTCATGTAGGAAAAGGCCTGTTTCAAGTCTGATCTGAGGATTAAGTTGTTCAATAAAGTAAACCACTAAGTAGCATAATTTGTGGTGTTTGAGGGGCTTTCTCTTTGCTGTTAATCATAAGTTCCATACAGAACTTAACTCTTTTCAAGCTAATGCACAGGTGTTTACAACTATCTGGAAGTCAATTATAAAGGACAGTAAAAAGTTTGCTTTAAATTGCCAAGCTATCATTGTTGGTGCACTGCTTTATATCCCAAACAGGTTATGAACTTCACGGTGTAGAAAACCTACCAGAAGGACCAGGCATTGTTGTTTATTACCATGGAGCTATTCCGATAGACTACCTCTACTTTTTATCTAGGCTATTTCTCTGGAAGAAGAGACTTTGTCTGTCTGTAGCTGATCATTTTGTCTTTCGTTTACCAGGTAAGAGCATGTTCCCTTGTACAGGCATCCTGAATGCACTCAAGCTGTTGCTGATCTTGGCAAAAATAACATTTACTACAATTGGAAGGCTTTTAAGAGGATATCAGAAATAAGATGAAGGTTACCAGATTGCTGCAAAAGAGATCTCTTTTTCAAGAGATAAGTGACAGAGTAGTATTTCAAATTGAAGAGTAAAATATTTTTGTTAGAAATACATAGTAAACTTAAACAAACAAACAAAAAAGCCCACCAACAACCAGAAAGCCTACAAATAATAGGAGGCAGGACTCTCTTTTTGCTGCATTAGTAGAAAATGTAGTTGAAGGTAATAGACTGAATAAAACTGTTTTTCATGCAGCCTTTCTTGTGCTACTAATCTTTTTTTTAGCAGAAAAATTGCATTTTGTAGATCCACTCTTTGAAGAATGCTCATGAGGATATGCTGTGCCAAACTCTCCAAAAGGCTTCTGATCAGGTCCTTCATGAAAGTCTGTTAGATAATTACACTGTTACAGGAGAAGTCTTGTTAATTAGTAACTGGTTAAAAAGTGGGAAAGAAAGGGTAGAAATAAACAGTTCATTTATGTTACAGGGAAGTAGTAGTTATTGGCATATCAATGAAAATCTGTGCTGGCACCTATATTGTTTGAAATGCTCATAATCTACATCTGAAGTGAGGTAGCAAAACTTTATCCTGGTTGTTTTTTTTTTTTCAAAGCAGTAAAAATTCACATTACGGTTATCTAACCATAATGAATCGCTAACATTAAATGATAGATGAACAATATTAAATGTAATGTGCTGCAGGGAAAAAACAACAACAACAACTTTAAATAGGTAAATAATAAACAGATAATTAGGCTTTAAATTCTGTAGATGACTTTAGGAAAATATGTCAGCTCAACTCTCAGCAATTACTGAGAAGCAAGCAGAATTTAAGGATTATCATGGAAAGAGAAGAAACAAAAACCTGCATGAAGGTGCTCATAATGCACATGGTATCCAAACTTGAGTGCTGAGTGGAATTCTGTTCTCCAGATGTAAGTAAAGCTACAAAGTAATTAATACACACACACACAAAAACCAAAAACAAACAAAAAAAAAACCAACAACAAAACAAAACAAAAAAAAACCATGGATGATCAGAGGCCTGGAATGGCTTCCTCTGAGGAGCCAGGTAAAAGGAACAGGAACAGAAGTCTTACATCACTAAGGAATATAAAAATGGCTGCCAGGTGAAGTTCCTGGGGACTGGAAAAAGGGAAACGTTGCTCCCATTTACAAGAAAGTGAGAAAGAGAGAGCCGGGGAACTACAGGCCAGTGAGCCTCATCTCTGTGCGTGGAAGATCATGGAACAGATCCTCCAGGAAGACGTGTTAAGGCACATGAGGGACAAGGGGGTTATCTGAGAAAGACAGCATGGCTTCACCAAGGGGAGGTCATGCTTAACCAATCTGACGGCCTTTTGTGATGGAGTGATGGCATTGGTGGACAAAGGGAAGGCAACCGATGTCATTTACCTGGACTTGAGCAAGGCCTTTGACATGGTCCCCCACACATCCTTATCTCCAAATTGAAGTGAGAAGGATTTGAAGGGTGGAATATTTGGTGTGTAAGGAATTGGCAGGAAGGTTGTGGTTTGATATAGCAGTTGGCAACCCTGCCTGTAGCAGGGAGGTTGGAACTTGATGATCCTTGAGGTCCCTTCCAAACCAAGGCATTCTATGTGCTTTTCCATCTTTGTTTTGGGCAAATCCCAGAGAAGAGACTCATTTAATGGTTTGCACAGTGTTGAGACTACGGTGTTAAATCGGTACAGCAGCCCAACTTAACCACAGAATACTCAATTTAACAGTTTAAAAATCAGCGTTTAAAATGTTAAAAATCACGTCTTAAAAGAACTCTAAAAATACGTGCTTGTTAAGTATTTGTATAGCAAGCCATATCCTACTGAAAAAGAAAACTTACATTTATTCTGTATTAAAATCTATTTTAAAAGAACTGGCAAGAATAGATACTTTCAGATTTCTAGCTGTGCTGCACAAATCTCAGTTGTGTGACTGCTGTTTTGATAATTATGAAAATAGTGTGTGTAAGCTTTGACTTACTGAGGTGCACTTTGTAAGTCGGTTCATCTTTATAAGATCTGAGCAAAAACACTGCCAACCAATATTCAGTCTGTATGTATTTTATTTACTTGGTACTTTAATCTATATTCATGAGCAGTAGATTTTAATTTGGCTGTAATCTTGTTCTTACATGCTGCTTATTTATTGCAGGGCTCAAATTATTACTGGAAGTGACTGGTGTTATGCCAGGTACAAGGGAGGAGTGTCTCAGTGCACTGAAGAATGGACACTTGGTGTCTATTTCACCAGGTGGAGTTAGAGAAGCCCTATTCAGTGATGAAAGTTACCAACTCATGTGGGGAAATCGAAAAGGCTTTGCTCAGGTTGCTCTAGATGCGAAAGTGGTGAGTATTATATGTATATTTCATTTCTTGTATTGACTGTATTTCAGAAATCTACACTGTGGTCTTTCACAATACTGATTTAATGCATTCATGTTATATTTTTTTTTTTTTTTTTTTTTTTTTTCTGGGGGGGGATCCAGGATTTTGTTCTTACCATTTATCTTTTCTTCATGTTTGTGAAAGATTGTATCAACCTGCATAAGATGATGCATCTGCATTAGCACTCGAGTTTGACTGAAGCAGTTTTTTCATCTTCCTCACTCATTATGCTTTCATTTGCACCGTGGAACGATGTCTGAATACATGAGCTGCATTCCTTTTGGCAGAAACTAAAACAAAAATTGGAATCTAATATCCTCCAACTTCGCATGGGCATTCAGTCAATGGTACCAGATAAGAATTAGTTCTAAGTAAATGCAGGGCACTGAAATGTATTCAGTGTTGATGTCAGATCCCCAGAGTCAGCTGTTTTCCTCCAGAAGAGTGTTCCTGTTAGTTCCCACTGTGCTAAAGTACACATGGCCACAATTTCAGTTATATTGTCCATATGAATGAAGGCCTTCAAATACGAACTTCCACCACTGTGTCTGATATCTTCCACAAAACTTGAATTTCTTACCACCATTTTCTTTTTCTTTTTGCATAGCTGTATCTATTTTTTTATCCCATTTGTTGCTTCTCATACTCTTAGTTGCTTTTGCCAAAACACACTGGGTTGCGAAATGTGTCCTTTTGTGTAATATTTCTTCACTGCTCTATCTGCCTTTGAAATCTTGTGGGAAGAAAACTAAACACTAGAATAAATCTAGAGAAATTTAATTGCTCAGTGGAAAAAGTATTTTTAGCCCAGGACTCATGCCTCTTTGTTGTATGGCCTTTTGAAAGTCACACTTTTGTGTTTCTGTTTCCTCTCTCTTTTTCCCAAAAAGTATGGGCTTTTAAATGCTAGCCAAAATACTCCATATATTGTAGGGTCTCGTACATCACCACTGGTAAGAAAATATCAGAATCTGGATAGGATAAACTCAAAGTCATGTTAGCATTCCTTTACAGTATCTCTTCTCATGTATTAAGTTAATAACATACTTGAAAAGTCAGAGAGTTGTAAGTTTAACGACTTAAAGTGGTTTCCAATCACTTGTTTTCATATCTGTCTTTCAAACTTCCCCAAACATTAGAACAATGTTTTGCCAGTTATTTTCACTTCACTTGCAACCTTGTAATGTTACCCTAACATGTAATATCGACATCTTTCAAATAAAAATTGAATTAAAAAATAATATTGTGTGACCTTTATCGAAAACTTCACAGAAATCCTTGCTGTGAATCCTCGTAATCTTTTCACTTTTCTATAATTCAGAAGTAGGGAGAGCTGAATAGTGAGTGGTAGCTAACATTCAAAAGCACCATCTGTTGACAGGTGTTTTTCCCACTGAGTTAGTGAATTGGGTATCCCTTGAGGATAAAGTTGTGGACTGCTTTTCAGTATAGTGAGCATCACTGCAGTTAACTTGCAGGCTACATTGAATTTTCGGCATCTTTGCTATTTCTCTGGAAGCCTTTGACCAGAATTAACTGAGATGGGGGGGAAAAAAAAAAAAGTTAAGTGCTAGGCACTTAATAATGTTGCCCACTCTACTGCTCATATGTACCATTTCTCGTATAAAGTTAGGTCAACATTAATAACTGGACTCTGTCTTTTGACAAATTTTGACTTTGATTGCTCCTGTTTATACTTGCTACATCCTTTTCAATACTGGTCAAACCAGTCTCAGACTTTGACTCAAGGTTGTGTATAAACTCATCTAAACTGACAGAACTTGCTCTGTAAGGTAGCAACTCGTGCTTTGCTAATACTTACTCAGATCCTGGATAAAGGCAAGAGAGGACTGGTAGCACTTTGTTTTAAATTTATTCATCATACAGTATAGCCGTCAGCCAAAGAAACACATTTTACTGTACCTGTTATGACTACATGGCAGTTCCAAATCTGCCACAGGTGACTTTAATGGGGATTTCAAGACTGAAATAACTTTATCTATCTGAGTAGACATTGTTGTTCCTTGTATAATGTTACAGAAGTCCAACAGTTCTTGCACTGAAAAACTTGAAGAAAAACAAACAAGAAATGTAGTTTTATCCTCTGTTCTTGCTTGCAGAATTCCACATTCTGTTTCCACTTCATCTTGTATAACTACTCTCAAGTGGGCACAGGGAATAGTGTTACTATTTAATGTAATGTTATGAATCAATGAACCTCCTGGACCTGGATCTGTATCAATTTCATTTAGGTTGGCCAGTGACCTGACCTTCAGAAACACCTCTATCTATGCCTGGAGTTTGACAGGCTAATGGAGACAAGTCATTTCTGAAGATTGCTACATCACTTTATCTATGTTTGCATCTTTTACCTAACTAGATACACAGGTGCTGCAGTTTTTAAATTTCTTATAAAAAGTAGTGCTTCAGACATTTTTCTTTCTTTTCTGTAATTTAAAATATACACATCTGAAGATCAAGAATGTTAGAATAATGGTGCCAGTCACTTTGGTTGGAGGCTGCAAAGATGCAGCAGTGTCCTGAGACTGGTGATGGTAGGCTATAATATCCTGAGCAAAAACTGGGAGATCAATTGCAACCAGGTATTAAGAAGGGAGGGAATCAACAGTCAGGTGAGGAAGTGGTAGACAGTCTTAGTAAGCACAGGGTCAAAGGTGAGGTGGAGAATGGGGATGTTGTGTGTCTTCACTTCGGTACGGCTTTTGACTGTGTTTGCCACAACCTTCTTGTAGACAAGCTGACAAAATCTGGGATAAGCAGGCAGTAAGATGGATTAAGAAGTGGCTGAACTGCTGGGCTGAGAGGGTGGTGATCCACAGCACAAAGTAAAAGTAAAGCTGGAATCCTTTGTTAATTATCTGAATGATGGGATAGAATGTACCCTCAGCAAATTTGATAATACTAAAAAAAAAAAAAAAAAAAAAAGGAGAGAGAAAATTGGCCAAAACACCAGAGGGTTGTGTTGCCATTCAGAGAACCTGGAGCAGAGAGTAGTCAGAAATTCTCCTTTTCTAAAAGAGTGGTCAAGCACTGAAATGGGCTGCCTGAGGAGGTGTGGAGTCACCGACCCTGGAGGTGTTCAAAGAACGTTTGGACTTTGTGTTGAGGGACATGGTTTAGTGAGTACTATTGGTGATAGATGGATTGATAGATGGTTGAACTGGATGATCTTAAAGGTCTTTTCCAACGTTGGTGATTCTTTGATTCTCCGTGACTCTGTGAAATGCCTTTAAGTTCAGCAAAAGGAAATGCCAAGCCCTGACTGTAGGGAAGAATAATCTTATGCAACAGTATGTGGGACCATGGCACCAGTATAGAGACCAACCACTATTAACAGGGATGCTGCAGGAGGTGATCTTCAGAGCTTCCTCCTAACGTCAACTATTCTGCAGTTCTGTGATTTTATTTATTTATTTATTTGACTTGGCTGGGTATGATCCAACTCAGTTTCAACATAGTGAATCTAAATCTATGGATTATGATTTTTCACTCAGAGAGTGGTGACGCACTGGAACAGGTTGCGTTGTAGATGCCTCATCCCTGGAGGCATTTAAGGCCGGGCTGGATGGCTCTGGGCAGCCTGGTTTAGTGGCTGGTGACCCTGCATGTAGCAGGGGGGGGTTAAACTAGGTGATCACTGCGCTCCTTTTCAACCCAGGCCATTCTATGACTGTAGTGTCTCAGCCAATCAGACCTAAGGCTCTGGTTGTGTTGCTTTACAAACACAAACATATATATATATATTATGTACGGCTTTTTATCAGCCTAGGGACAAATGCTGCTACTTTCTCTTTAACTCATCAAATGATCACTGTAGGCAAGTACGTTTTGCTGGCTAGATAGTGAAATGATTATTCTCTTGCACTCTTCCTAAGAAATTCAAAAGCTTTATGTATGTTCAATATTTTTGCAATGTGAAGGGTTGTTTTTTTTTATTAAATGGTCATCACTGCTGTTCTGTGGTAGTGGTTCTTAACAATATGATGGTGTTCTGTGCTTCCTTTCTTGAAAAGTAATTTCAACAACATGTTCAAAATACAGTTCCATGAAATGTAAAGGGACAATACAGGTGAGAAAATCTTTGTATGTACTGATCCCATTACTGTTATTTTGTCTGCAAAATATAAAATCTCATTGCAGACTGTAAGATACGACTTTCAAGTTCAGCTATCTCATGTGTCTTTCTTTTTAGCTACAGTAATGAAGTGAATTTGCTTTCTTATTCTGTAATTACCGAAGGACGTGCACTTCAGAGGGAGTCTAGTACAGGTCAGTGAGGAGATACAGTTACCTTATTTGTCCAAGGAATTTGCTGAAGTTTCTTCCAATGGCCTTATTATCCAAATATTATTTTAGTGACACCTTTCCTTGAGAAATACGTTACTTTGAGGTGAGCCAAATGTGAATGTCTACTTGCTTTCTGCAGGACTTCATGAACTGATTGCTTTTCTATTCACAGCATACATGCTTAACATTAGACAGAGAAATTGTAAAAACTTTATTTTTTGATTCTGTAAACAATACTGCAATAAATGCATAACATAAATGTAATTTCTCATAGAATTCCAGTTAAGTTTTAGGATGTACTTTTAAAGGGAAGGATATAAACCTTTCATACATTATCACTTATTTTCCTCACAAGTGGTGACTTTAAAGCAGCAATGTTTGTGGGAGCTGAGAAATATGATTAGGTTTCTATATTGGAGTTTATTTGATTCACTAACTTGCTGACTTTTACTCAAATAACAGGATGTTTAGGTATTTCACTGTCCATTTAAGCTTTTACTGTAATATCAGTTAACATATATTACTCAAGATAAGCTGTGTATAACTGCATTTCAAAGGCACAGGAAGAAAAACCAGACCTAATCAGGATGCAAGTCCGTATTGAAAAAACCAACAAGGTGGACTAACAATAAGTTTGAGAAAACAGAACCAGCAGCTTTTGACATGGCTAAGAGGTCACCAAATAACCACTAGGCCATCTCTGTCTGCCTGCCCCTTATACCTTGCTAAAAGCAGCTATTGAAGTTCTGTATCTTTTTATCGGCACAATCACAGTAGGACTAATGCATTCAGAAAAACAGAAGTTGCTCTTCTAAGTTTCTGTTTTGCTATGAGAGAGTTTAAGCAGTCGTCACCCTTTAAAACACCAGAGATTAAAAATGTGATTCTGATCTTGCGTTACTCGAATAATCCTTGAATCAAACCTAAGGATTTGATCATCTGCCTGCTTACAGATAAGTACCATCTTGCATCACACTATGGCGAAACCAGGGCACTTGACTCTCACAGCCAAGTGTTCCAAAAGGGCATTGCATCTTATGTTGTGTGTGTGCAACTCTTTCTGAGAAGTTTCATTGGTACAGTCTTTAGTTAGGATTCCTGATGTCCAGGATAGACTTTCAAAATGAGACCTGGGACACAAAACTCAAAATCAATTGCTGATAAAGGCACTTCATGCCAGTGTAAGGAAGCTTGCTGATTTATCATCTTGCTTAGGCAAAACAGAAGTTTAAGCCTTTGTTACAATCACCAAAGAAGATGGGAAGACCATTCAGTGGACTATTGGCTACTGGGATATGATGCACTGTCTCTCCCTTCGTGACTTCCTAAGAAAAATATTTAGTGTGTGTCTGTCTCAAACTGAAAAATTAATATATATAAATGATCGGAATTTTGGAACTTCTGGATCTCAAGATAAGCTCTAAATATAATGAATTACCATTGCAAGACACACTGCAACCTTCAGGATATTGATAACAATTTCATGTTTTCCACCTGACCAACCGATGACCATCTTTTGTATTCAAGTAATTTTCTTCACCGTATTAACAGACACTAAAATATAGATTTAGATGTCTAATAACATTTTGACCTTTTTGTTTTTCATGGTTCCGTAGCCTATCATTCCAATGTATACTCAAAATGTCCGGGAGGGATACAGGATGTTTAAAGAACGAAGTAAGAACTTTAAAATATACTTCAAACATTTGGAATGTTTCATCCACTTTCCTCCTAGACTTTGCTTTTCAGACTTCTGCTTCCTTTAGATTCTTTAACATGCTCGTTGCAGGTCACAGGTATCTCAAATATTAACTGATTGTGTTGTGCGATTTCATTCTCTGATGCAGTCTTATTTCAGTCATCTATTAATTCTATCAAGCTTTGTGTTGGTGAACAGCTGCCTAAATCCTGTCATTTGTTCTTGATTGCCAAGTGAAGTGTGCATTTTTTAAGGAATCTTCAAAATCCATCAGATTTCAAGCTTGCATTGTGTTGTCTGTGTCTATAACTCACTTTTTCCTTCTCTCCAGGATTTTTCAGACAACTGTATGAAAGTACTCGATTGCCATTCACTCCTCCATATGGAGGACTTCCAGTTAAATTTCGCACATACATAGGGGAGCCAATACCTTATGATCCGAATATAACTACAGATGAACTGGTTGAAAAGGTAAGTTAGCTCTCCTTGCAATAGGTAGGGTTTGCTCCTAGCAGTTTAGGAGGCTGCATGCAAAACTCATACTAAGACTTTAAAAGCCAAGAATGAGCATAAATAGAAGAATGCTATTATGTTTACCTGTATAAGTGAAATTTAAAGTTCCCATGGAACTTGACTTACTTATCTCAGTCAGGTCTAGTTGACCTCTGTCTGATGTTGCCTTGGAAAGAGCAGGAAAAGTTTAGTTACCTTTTACTTATATTAGCATGACACACTGCCATCGCTCTGCAGTAGATCACTGTAGTATTTGGCTCTCTTGAGTTTAAATAGTTAAGAAAAACAAGGAGAGATTATTTTCTATCCCTAGCAGAAATACATAATTTGCATTATCTATGAATTTATGCATTCTCATCACAAATTTGCATTTGAACCTTGTGTAAATTTTAACAGTGTTTAGTTATTGTCTTACTGCGTGTATGCTGAATATGATAAACTTACAGAACAACTCATGTTGGGAAGGATGTATGGAGTTCCCAAGCCCGTTTTCAACACTGCCAGCTATGAAATCAGACTAGGTTAGTGAGCCTGGAAGTTGCATAAGTTTAATATCCGTATGTGTAGAGGCTACTTGAACTTAGTAACTCTCAGGTTTCATATGTCTCAGCAATTTGAGCCTAACCAAACTGCAATCAATGTTTTTATTCCTTTCATTTCAAAATAAACCATTGTTAGGATAGCTAACTAATATAAAAGACAACTTTTTTCTTAAATTAGATATACGTGTGAATTTCCCAATACCTCTTAAAACTGACAAGAAGCCAGTGATTGTACTGTTCTTTATCAGTGGGTATGTAAAGGTCAACTTTCTCCTCTCTTTCCAGACAAAGACTGCAGTCCAGGCTCTAATAAAGAAGCACCAAACAATCCCAGGCAGCATATGGAAGGCTTTATTGGACAGATTTGATAAGCATTGTAAAACTGATTAGAATACTGAAGTTTATTTTACTGTTTTTACAGCATGCAGTAAAAGACAGTGTCCTACAGCAGCGATGACTAATTGATGTTTAACCAGTTTAATTTACAAGCTTCTATAATCAACAGAAGAAAACAAAGAACCTCTTGAAGATTCCCCCGTTTAAGCTCTCTTGCTCTTTGAGAATATTCTTGAAGTCAGGAAGAGTGGGCCTTTCAATTAGAAAACTTACATATAATGGGCAATGCAAGTACAAAATTTCCCAAATGGAGATCATGTGGCCAGTTTGTGACAGGTTCCTAAAACAAATATTTACATGCATCCAATGGGCTCAAAAGGTTTGCCTGGCTCTGTGGGTTTTAAGAGTTTTGTTTTTAAGCCAGGTATTAGACTTATACAACACAGCAGCTTAATGGCTCAGTGTCCTTAAAGGTAAGAATCCCGCATCCAACATTTTGCTCTGATGGAGAGAAGTCTTCTATCCCCTTGGTACAGTGAAGGGAGAGATCCCCTCCCTTTTTATAAGATGAAAAAATCTGGCTTACTCTGGAGAAGAAATTAACAGTGACAGAAATTCCTGATTCAGATTCAGTTTGATGAAAAAATTAAAGTTTTATACTCTCAAATCGGGAAAAAAGAGCTTCAATTAAGTGTAGTGCTATGCAAATACACGTAGTAGTACTTTCAAGTCTGTGTTGGTACATTCATGCACTATTGCACCATGCAGTCCAGATACAGTGCTGCTTGGAAAGTGGATGTGCCAGCAGTGTCATTTTCCTAATAGAGCTTTCAGAATACTGAATCTTGTTGTAAAACAGAATGTGTTTTTACAAGCTAGGGGATGTTACTATTGTTGGGAGTGGGAGAGCTTTGTGTAATTCATTAAAATTAATTCATTAAAAGCAACAAAGTCTGTTAACTTTGGACATGAAGGAAGGTCATTTTTTGTGCCTCAGTATTTTTTCTTGTGCTTTTAATACCTACATAATCTTTTCCCTCAACATCCTACAATTTTATGTAGCATCTAAGAAAATGCCTACTGTCACTAGAAATCTAAATGTACTCTTTGGATTAAAATAAACTTCTCCTCTTCCTGTATTCCTTCTCCATAAATATTTCTTGCACATCAGAAGAAGGGAGCAGAATGGACAGATGAGCATACCTTGAAGAATTTTTTTCCCTTAAGAAAAAAGAAAATAATCTTGTCCTGAAAAAAACTCAGATCTGTTCAAAGACAAGACTGTTTACTTGAACAGCTTAACTATAATTGCAGTATGCAAGCAGAAGGATTTTTCTCTCAGCAGAGACAAAACTCGAGCAAACTGAGATGCTAACTAGTATGCCTGGACATTAATAGGAATTCAGACCATTAAGTCTCATGTAACTTACACCAACAATGTAAGCTAAAATTCCAAGCCTCAGCTTAACGTAAATGAGAAAAGCAACTAAAAGAAAGGGCAAATACTAAAATGAATACAGATGATGAAGCAATAGTAATGAGGAGTAAGTGGATCTGATAGCATTCCTTGTGTCACAGAAACTTCGCAGAAGGATGAGACAGCATCATTCTCTGACTGTCATATTCCATTCTCCAAGCACGTTAGCACAATCAGTTGATACATTTCCCTCACCTGTATTTTGGATGTTACACAACCTTTCAGACTCCACGTGCACGGGTACCTGACAGTGCTGCAACTTGGAATAAAGCACTACTAGCCTTGGAGAGAGGATATGTGATCCAAAACAGCGGTTATCTTTCAAAGAAGGGATTTGAGCCTGGATCTTCTATGTCAGACAGCTCTTAACAGTTTGTTCAGAAAGTTCAAGGCTTTTCTGGGCCTCTTCATCTTATAACTGCATCCCAATATTATTGGCGTCTGATCTGAAGTGTGTGAAACTGAATTTCTATAGATTTTCTTCTAACACAATTGTCTTGAGAGTATTTACTGGGTTCTCAAGGTGATGGACATGACAAATATGTCATTTAGAGATGTAAGTGGTTTTGAATAAAGAATAAGACACTGATTTTTATCACATGAAAAAAGAATTTAAACCATTTTTCCTCAGAAATATGTTAGAATACCTCACAGTAAAGAATTCTAATATAGAACTGCACTAATGCAGAAACTAGAACTTGAAGCTGATATTATAGAAACTAGCAGTAACAGGAGCTTCTTTTCATACAGTTTAATTGCCTATCAAATTACTTCCCTACAATGCAAATTACCTTGTTTGTAATATATTAAAAAGAAAAATAGTAAATGCAGGTGACCTCTGCTTGCTTTAAAACCTAAGACATATTTATGACACGTTTGCTATAGTTTGCTTAATAAACCATGCAAGGAAATCCTGTTTGTTAACATTTTGTGCTCAATCTACAAGATGCTACACTGGGGACAAACATAATACTGAAACCCTGAAAAAAAATATTTGACAATAAAGTTACAAAAAATGCACAACTGCAGAACCCCAGCTCAGAATTCCAATAAATTACGTACATGTAAAAGGCGGTCAAAAAAGCATGACAAAAATCTGCAGTTTGCAGCCAAATGATATTACCTAAGGTTGATGCCAAACAGTGCAGTTTTGAAAATTATTAAATTTCAGTCCAGCTGGTACAGTAGCTAAATGAGCATGTATGTCTGGAACCAAGCCTGGTGTAACTTCAATATCCCCTTATTTATTAGATTTATTTGTGTTTTTGTCTTTTTTTTTTAAAACATGCAAGTTAGATCCAGAAATCATATCCAAGGCTGCAAGACACTGAGGTCTTTGTTAACGATGCTGAAAACATCATGTCCAAAATGCAGAGTTTCAGGAATACTAAATTCAGTCAGATACTGAATGACACAGAGTGACTTTAGAAGCAGAGTATCAGAACTAAAGCTGCTGGACTCCAGCTATGCTTAAAGCCAAAGCTATGTCATGGATATACGGTTGGACTGCACTATGTAAGACTATGGTTTGAATTCCTACTCCTGTCCTGGCTGGCATATTATGTAGCAGGCATACATTAAATATATATATATATATATATATATATTTTTTTTTTTTCCTCCTGGTTCATTTTGGACATTACAATGGGTACCTGTGGGGACTTCTTTGCTTTTGGGTAGTTGACCCCAAGGGACCATGAAGGCTGTGTCATCTGAAGGGGTTTTCATAGAGAAACACTGTCTCCAAGTGTTGGTGGGGAGACGCAGCTCTGCATCTCGAGCACTGCGTCCAGGCCTGGGGCTCCCAGCATGAGAAAGATGTGGAGCTGTTGCAGCAGGTCCACAGGAGGGCCACGAAGATGATCAGAGGGCTGGAGCACCTCTCCTATGAAGACAGGCTGAAGGAGCTGGGCTTGTTCAGTCTGGAGAAGGCTCCAGGGAGATCTCATTGTGACCTTCCAGTATTGAGGGGAGTTTATGAACAGGAGAGAAGCCGACAAAAGCCAAGGTACTGCGGTGTAATGAAGGAAACATCACAAACTTGAGACAATGACAATAACACCACAGAGGACTCAATTTTGCAAACCGCAATGAGACACGAAGCCCCACAGCAGGTCGCCGGAGGTCCAGTTCCTCCCGCTGGCTTACAAAGCTCAGAAGCAAAGACACAAAGCTCAGAAGCAAAGATACAAAGCGAGGCGCCACAACTCGCCGCCAGCGCAGCACCGCAACCACAGCCACGCGCACGGCGCACACGCGACGCAGAGCCGATAACCCACCCGGGCTGCACATCACGGCGCCCCCTGGCGGTGGCGGCGGCCTCCCCGCCGGAAGCGCGGCGTGTTGCAGCCGGACAGCGGTCCGGGCGGCTCCCGCCTCCCCGGCGGCGCGGAGTTCCTCCCTTTTCGCCTCCCGCCGCCTTCGTTATCTCCTCGCCCCCGCTCCCGCCGGGGGCGCGGTGCCCCTCCCGTCTCCGCCCCGCGGGGAGCCGCCCCAGCCTGGCTGCCCAGCGGGCATCCGGCCTCCGCGGAGGCGGTGGGCGAAGGAGTAAAAGCGGGCCCCGAGAGTGACCGGGGGTTGGAGCCGGAGCCGCGGCCGCTGGGGGAAGGTGAGCGGCGGTTGAGGGGCCGGGTCTGGCCGTGTGGTGTGAAGGGTGCGGCCCGGGGCAACTCCAGCCGCCGCCGTGCATCGAGGGGGGCTGGGAGCGGCTGGGCGGGCAGGCGAGAAGTGGTCGCTCTGGCTGCTGAGCGCGGTTCCCGCAGTTTCTTTTGGGAGAAAACGTGATCCTCCTCCGACTCTGCTGAAGGAGTCGCTGATGGGGCTGCCGCCGCCATGAGAAGCGAGGCCACTTCGTGTTTCCAAGCAAGAACAAAAAGCCCTGCTAAATTCCAGCGTCCTTTTAGATCGCGGGTGCCGTTAGCAGCGTTTCTGGCTTTTTATGTTGCTGCTGTTGTTTTTTACGGCGGCTTTGCTCGCTGTGGTGCAGATGCTCCCCGCGAGTGGCTGGCGGGGCAGGAGGCAGCGTTAATAGGGGCTTGTCTGAGTGAGACCCTAGGAGTCAATGGAAAGAACCGCGTGTTAGCCTGGTCTGTAAGCATAAGTCTATGTGCTGTAGTGTTGGTCAGAGGAGATGTGCCTCTCTCATCTAGTGAGAATCCATAAGCAGCTCTATTAAGAAGTTATCACTGAAATTAGGTGTTTGGCTCACACTGCTTGGCAGGAAACCTGTTATGAATGTCAGCTAACACAAGGCCTTTAAGGGTATGATTGTATTACAGAAAGGTTCTGCTGCTGATTTGGCAGAGGTTGGGGCTTTGTAGTACAGCATCCCACTGCGTTTTTGCATTTGGGCGGTGACAGCTGTCAGAGCACATCAGACTAGGACGGCAGGTTGAGCTGTTTGCTTCCAGGAGGACCTAATCAGAGGATGTCGCTGGTGATTCAAGAAAGCAGCTTGCTTGATTTTGTAATTTTAACTGGGCTGACTCTAGGCAGTTCTAAAGTGGGACAGACCAAAATGATTCTATTAGTAGCGCATAAGAACTACCTTGGGCTTTTATTCATGATGGCCATGCCTGTACTTCTTTGAGCGATGTGATGGTGCCAACCATCCCTTTTTCAGGCCAGTACCTCTGATAAAGTGTTAGGTGTAACAATAACATAACGCTTAGGCTGGATACAGAGTATTCCTGTGGAGCTCAGAACATATGCTGGACTTGTTATGGGAAGAGCAAGTTTACAGCTGGGAGGAGACCTTTGTCTGTTAAATGCTAAGTCAAGTAGTAGGGGGGATGGCTGTCCGCATGCTGTGCTATGTGAGCAAGGCTGTGGCATTAGATCAGGAAAGTGTTTGCTGCCTCTTTTCATCACTCACAATACCACGCATCCAGTTTAGAGCCCTACTGTGCTAGAAAGGGGCTGGCAGCCTGGAGGAGGTCCAGAGAAGGGCCAGCAGCGGTGCTGGGTGTCACATCAGATGGTGTCTGTGGAGAGGTGGAGGGAGCTGCCTTCATTTAGCTTACAGAACTTAAGGGAGATCTTGCTGCTCTTCATAATGAATAGTTATTTTGGGGGCTAGATGCTTTTCAGCCAAGGCAATAGGTACAAATTGCAGCAAGGGAAATTCTGACTAGAATAAAGAAAAGCATTTTGACTATGAGGGTGATCAAGTGCTGGATTGGTGGCTGGAGGAATCTCTGTCTGTGAAGGTGTTACAGACTGGACTGGACATGACTCTAAGCAACCTAATCTAACTCACTGGCAGACAAATGTTGGGTTAGCGCTGCCAGGGATTCTTTCCAATCTAAATGATTTTGTGATCCTTTCATGATTAGGAAGTAGGGCTTTCAGAGTAGGATTCACTGTCCCTAAGGGAAAGAAGTACAATAGATACTACCTACGTGTTTGGCAACAAATGATTTTTATTTGTGCTACTAGTTAGTGCATACATTTGCAAGCAAACTTATAAAACTGCAGCGATTGCGTTTGAAGTATTGCATCTAACATTGCATGCAGAAAGCCAAGTCATGTTTTGCAAGGCTGGCATATGTGGACAGGACTTCAAACTTTCTCGATGAGGACTTGGTATTTGGAGAAAGCTGCAAACGATTAAAAGTAATAGGAAGGAATGCATAGCTTTGAATTATATTTCAAGATGTATGATCACCTCTGAGTTTTAAAAAGGTGTTTCTGTGGCAGAATTAATTTCTCCATATTGTTTTCTAGCTAATAGGTGGGATGCTGGGGGAAGTCCATAACAATCTGGCAAACATCACAGCATTGAATCTTACTCTTCAGTACTGCTAGGTCTCACAAGTTGTATTTCTTGCACTTGGCTGTGTTTGCTGCTGCCAGGTTGTGGAGTTCATATCTGACAACTGGAATGAGAACTGTATAAGCCTGGGTTGATGGAGCAGGCATGGATCGTGTGAGCCAAATCCTTTTATTATTATTTTTTCTTAAATAAGGAGTTTTCTTAAGCAATGTGGGTAGAGGCAAATTTCAAAATGGAAGGAGAAGGAACATCCTTGCTATATCAAAATAGGTGAAGGAAATGAGATTGGGAAGTAAATGAGATGATTTCTGCTTCTGTATCTCTTTAATGTGAAAGAAAATTGATCTGATTCTTTGTAGTTGTTGATATTGAAATTCTGATAGATTTAGTCAAATGATCTCTCATCAGTCCCTTGGTGCTTTCAAAACAGAGCAAGAGCAAAGGAGTGAAGGATACACATATCTCTGTGCATAGGAACTCTGCAGTCGTACATTGTATGTCACATTGTAATATGAAAATAAACTTGTTTTTTTTTCAGAAGTGATTGTTTCTAATCTCTCTAACAAGTCTGCATTATAGTTGCAAAATGCTTTTCTTCTTTGACCTGATTAGCAGTTACTCCAGGTTTTGACCAAAACTTTACTAGGCTCAGAAGTTTTTTTTTTTGTTTTTGTTCCAAGGTGTTACTCCTTTTGTTGTGGAACTCCAGCTAAGATAGAGCCAAGCATACAGCTTGTCTTGGCTTTGTGAGATGAAGTGATTACAAAGTAGAACCAGAACCATGGAATGTCAGCCCAGAGAGATGTATCTCAAAAACTGCCATGGGAGAAGAAGGCTCTTATGCATAAACAGAATTAAACCAGAGACCTTAATGCTTTTAGAGAACTTTTTTTGATTCATCTTCTTCCTCCTTTATGCTGCCTCTCTGCATTGTGCTGTGGGACTTGTATTTCACTCTCTGTCCACGTACAAGTGCATTTGAAGGTCTCTATATGAGTGTGGCCACGCTCTTACTGAGTCATGTCTGCTGTTAGTGGAAGTGTTTGGTGTTGTTGTTTGTCTTCTTTTTTAGTAGCACTCAATTTGAGATTGTACTGATTCCTGTGTGGCAAATGGTATATGAATCAGATAGGTTTGTTGTGTGATTAAACACAAAAAAATTGTCTGTTTTCTTTAAAGATTTATTCAGTTTCTTCTTTTCTTTTAGATAAACAGAAGATGATAGGGAGCAATGAATCCTCTACTGAAGGACCAGTGCCTACATCCTACTTAACCTTCCTGGCTTATTTACTGGGAGAATGGACTGGTATAGAACACACTGAAACTTATCTGAGTTATGGAGTCTACCTTTCATGGGTGCTTTTTCCACTTGCAATAGCTTTTATACTTCCAATAGCTATCTTCTTCTTCTGCCTCAACACTTCCCTTCTCCTTCTTCATATTCATAAAAGGAGGAAGAATGGAGGACGTTCTGGTGATGTTTGGTATGGTGCAAAAGAAATGTTGGCTAACCTGTGGGATGGACATGGGAGAATATGGCATGGTAAGCAAAATCTGATTTCTCTCTAAAAAGCGCTGACTCTCGGTTTATGGCTTTGTCTGTGAGGATTATCAGTTTAAATTAAATTGCTATTGCTGTTTATTGACTGCCAGTAGTTCTTCAACTTTGTGGGCCTGGGAAAGAAAAGAAAGAATTGAGACTCTTTTGGTTGTACAGTTTTGTCTTATGCTTTTATTCCTTTGCTGCTACTGCTTTCATTTAGCCAAATAAATGCAATTTAAAAAAATAATCTTTTTAACTGTTAATAACTACGCTTGGATTTTCTTTTTCCACAAGTGACAGCTACGTTAAAACTTCATTCCCTGTGTCTCAGGAATTATTTAGCAAGCAAGCCAAAAAAAAAAAAAAAAAAGATTGAATATGTAAACACTGAGAGCTAAATACCAGTTCCCTAATAGCTAATATCTCTACATTTGTTTGTGTAATTTAACTGCATGTAACTGACATCGTGCCAAATGTTGTCTGAAAGGGGCACTTGGTGTCGGTTTGCTCTCTAGTTACCACTTCAACACTTTTGGGCTCTCAAGTCAATTCACAGAGGCCTACTTTTTGTATTTTCTTTCTATGTATTTTTGACAACTACTTTCTCTAGTAGAAGAACGTCAAAACTAAGGGCTCTGCTCCTTGTCCCTCTGCTGCTATATCTTTTCTGAAGATAGACTTAATAAATGATTTGGCTTCTTTCTAAGGAAATCATAAGCTTCTTTCAGAACCGTTCATTCTAGATGCAGCTAAAGGAGAAAGAGATGTTTAAGAGCAATTTACATAAAGAACAAATCCATCTTGAAAATCATCTCTATTTGTTCCCCAGTCAAAGGGATGAGGGTTGTCAAGGCATTTATAACCAGATGGTGCAGCGGCTGTATCAGATTGGCTTTGTAAGACTAAGATTTAGCTTTTGAATCTGAGAAAGTACACTAGATCAAAATCAACAGCTACATCAAAGAGCTTAAAATTCTCACTTCATAATGAAAAGCTATTTACTTTTCTCATACGATTTTTTTTTTTTTTAAGGCCTTGGCTTTTTTCATCCATAGTAACTTTTTCTCTTTTATAAGGTCTGACTTCTTATTTCACAGAAAAGATTTTTATCCAGTCCCTCATCTACTATTATGACTTTTCTTTCTGCCCTGTCAACTGCTTCTACTTCTTTTAGTAAATTATGAAATGCTCTGTGATTTTTATTTTTATTTTTTTAATTTTTTTTTCCCACTTGGTTAATCAGTATGTTGAGATTTCAGGAAGTTCTTCCTGAAATCTCAAAACACTGAAGGTGGGGTGGGGGGGGGAAACCCCAAACAAAAGCCCAACCTTGTATGTGATACCTGTAATTTTATTATGCAAATGCTAGCCACAGCTATTACTCTGGTTATGCTCAGATAGCATGGAGCACAGTTAGTGGTCGCCTACAGATGGTTGGTAGATGTATATCTGTAATAGGCATTGAAAATAGAACAGTGGGAGAGAAGCCAAAAATACAGACAGAAGTTTAAAAAGGGGGGGGAGGGGGTGGGAGGCAGGGAGAAGGATTTTCACACCTGATTACTTCAGAAGGAATGAGATTTAGAGAAGAGCAACAATACTGTAACAGAACTGTTCAGTGTAAACTAAATGTATAAATAAATGTGTTCTGAGCTGGTCCATTTTATTGTTTTGTGCTAGCTGAATATTCTTTTCAGCGTTAACTAAATGAGAAACGTAAGTTCAACACTTGTATGTGTTCATGTGTGTTTCAGTTGAGCATATAAACTCCCAAGAGCTTTTAGTGCTTAGTGATGGAAAAGTAGTCTAAGTATAACTCTGAGAGAGATAACAAAGATGAGTCTCAGAACTTGGGATTAAAAAAGACACATAAATGGGTGTTGTCATGTTAAACTGCCATTAACAGTTGCTTGCAGCAATGAACTTGATTTTGAAAGATAGGTAACAGCTTGCCACAGTAGTGTTTCAACACTCCTATTCAGTCCTTATTTTGATTTATCTTGAATGATTGATTCAGAGAACTACAGCCTTGAAGGCAGTGAACTGAAAAAATAAGATAAAATTATGCAATAGTTGAAGAGAGCGAGGCTGTTAGTTCTGTTGTTTTCATTCTCTCTTTAAATAGAGCTTTAAATAAGGCTTGTAAACATGAAGCTGTGAAAGCAACTTAGTAAATGCTGCAAGACAGCTCTTGACATTTTAGCAGTCACTTTGCTCTAACACTTCTCAGTAGATACTGGTTTCAACTTGCCAACTTAATGCAAATTAGTTTATGTAGGATAGAATTGTATCGTACTTTGATATCCTTTATGCCTTTAACTTCTAACAGGTTATGAACTTCATGGGGATGAAAATATTCCAGAAGGACCAGCACTTATTGTGTTTTATCATGGAGCTAGTCCTGTTGACTATCTCTATTTCATGGCTAGACTTCTTATACGAAGGAAGAGATATTGCCACGTAGTAGCGGATCATTTCGTCTTTAGATTACCAGGTAATGTACTTCAGTATAAACCATCAGTCTGAGAGTTCTTTAAACTTTTTTTTTTTTTTTTTTAAAGATTGAAGTTATTAAAATTCATTGTACAAAGCTTACAGAACAAACTTTCAGGCAAATATTGTTAGTCTGTTGGAACAACTGTTCTTAGTAAAGAGTGTGTTCTTATCAAACAAGAACAAGTTTATGCAACTGGCATCTCCTGCAACTGCGGAGATGGTTTGCACTCCAATCTGGGCAACACTTTTAATAACTTTAGAGTGTTCAGAACCAAAGAGAAGGAGATAATGGGAGAAAGACTTGTCTCTATGTTATTCAGTAGCCAATACTCCATAATATGTCTATTAATATTTAGGCATGATTGTTAATTAAAGGTGAGTTGGAGTGTACTCTCAGTTGACACTGTGAGGTTAGAACTAGTATTCAGAGTGACTTCCCAGAAAGGAACTGGTAGAAACATCATGAAGTTCAGCAAAAGCAAATATGAAGCTTTGAATTTTGGATGAAGTAATCCCATGTGGCAGGACAGATGGGAGCCTGGGTAGAAAGTAACTGTCAGAAAGGACTTCAGCATTCTAGTGGACAACAAAGTGAACATGATCATCTCTGTTGCAAAGGCACAGTGTGAACTCGACTGTGTGCTGGTCTTTTTCAGCCTGAGTGTAGCCAACAGGTTAAAAGGAGTGATTCTTTCTCTTGATTTGGCACCTGTGAGAGCACATCCAATGGTACTGTGTCCTGTTTTGTACTTCCCAGTTGTACTTCCCAGGGATATTGTCTGGAGGCTGAAGCGCACACTATTTATTTGGTCTATAACAAATAATGGTGGAGGAAGATATTACTGCTGTCTTTGATTACTTAACTGTGATGTGCAGAGAAGATGGGGTCTGACGACTCTTTAAGGTAATCAAAAATAGGATGATAGGAAACAGAGGCAAGCTGCAGTTCCTAAACTGTAGCTGGGGAAAATCTCTAGGGATGGAAATTCAAAACTGCTGACTGAGGCCCTGAATAGGTTGGTCCAGTTGGACAGCTTGGAAGGGTGTTCAGGGAGGATAAGCCCAAGGGGCCCAGGTAATTGATTCGGATTGTCTTGAAGTCTGCACAATAATCTGTGGCTGGCAGCCTAGATAGATAGGGCTTCTTTTGTGAATCAAAGCAAAAAGATGGCCATCCTTTTGTACTGGTACTTAGACTTTCTGATCTTGAAGCTTCAGATAAAATGGATGCCTTTCCAGAAGATGTTTTAATTAACCAAAATTTGCTAGACTTGATCTAAGAGAAATGGAGGGAAAGGATACTTGGATTAGACGATGTAATGATCATTCTGTTGTTAATATTCATAAATATGCTATGAATAGCTGTGAGGGAGTAGCTTGCCCCATGAACCTGAATCTCATATGTGCCAGTTTGCAGTTGTTAATATGGAGTCTCACTGCCTCCTCCTCATCAGGCACTTTTGTACCAATTTAACTGTGATTAACTGGATTGTATTTGTAGCATGTTGCTGTGCCTCTTGAGGGATGCATGGGCCTATAAGGGGTCAAAGAAGCTTAAGTCTTGACAGATACAGCTTGATAACTTATGTAAGGGAATTTAATCTAATAGAAAAAACTCTTGTAGATACCTGGAATTTCCTGTTGAACACTGGAGTTAAATCCAGCTGACAGGTGGTCGTGAGTGGTGTTCCCAGGTGTTGGTACTAGGGCCTGTCCTGTTCAATATTGATGACATGGGATTGAGTGCACCCTCAGTAAGTTTGCATGTGACACTGGGTTGAGAGGAAGTATATATCTGAGGATAGGAAGGCCCTTCAGGGGGATCTGGATAGGCTAGATAGCTGGGCTGAGGCCAATGGGATGAAGTTCAGGACCCAGCACTTGGTCTTGTTGCACTTTTACCATAACAACCCCATGCAGTATCTTGGACTCTTCTTTGGTGTGTGTGTGCATACATAATCATTCCTCTGGACTCAGCACTGGTGAGGCCGTACCTCGAATATTGTGTTGAGTTTTGGGCCCCTCACTATAAGAAAGACATTGAGGCCCTGGGATGTGTCCGGAGAAGGGCAACGAAACTGCTGGGGGATCTGGAGCACAAGTCCTATGTGGAGCAGCTGAGGGAGCTGGGATTGTTCAGTCTGGAGAAGAGGAGGCTCAGGGGAGACCTCATTGCACTCTGTAACTTCCTGAAGGGAGGTTGTGATGAGAAGTTTGGCCTCTTCTCCCAGACGACAAACAGGACCTGGGGAAATGGCTGCAAGTTGTACCAGAGGAGGTTTAGATTAGACATAAGGAAGAACCATTTCTCTTAGAGAGTGGTCAGGCACTGGAATGGCTGCCCAGGGAGCTGATGGAATTGCCATCCCTGGCAGTGCTCAAGAGGTGTCTGGATGAGGAGCTGCGAGAGATGGGTTAGTGCTTGTGGTGGCAATGGTAATGGGAGGACAGTTGGACTAGATGATCTTGGGGTTGCTTCCGACCTTGTGATTCTGTGATTCTATATAACAAATGTGTGTTCATAATAATAAATATTCATAGTCTTAATTGTTAAACTGAGGGTAAAAACACCTGATGATCTGTTTTTGAGATTTAAACTTGGCTGGATCGGTTCTGTACCTTTGTTTGTGGCTGACTGAGTTAATTTTGGGCTCTGTGGGAAACTTCAAGAAAGAGAAGTAATCTTTCTCATGTTGCTCAGTGACCTGAAGTTCCCATTTCAGTATGCAGTGTGCACAAATACTGCACAAGTTTAAAATACATTAAAATAAACATAATTGGTTTCTTTCTTACACCTTTTCTTCATTATACTAGCTGCCTAAATTGAGCTACTTGTCCAAACGTGTCTGTCTGATACCTGTAAGCAATTTTTGCTGTTCTGTTGCTCCTTGACGAGTGGAGTAAGTATGACATCTCACATTTAAGATATGAGTTTATGTAACTTTGCAGTTTTAAACTTCAGTAAATGTGAGCTCTTCATCTAATTGCATATGCGCAATTCAGGATCCCCAGGTTCCTCTGTGTAGTGAAAGGCCACCTGGATGCTCACAAACTGAGCTGCAGCAATCTGGAACACAGAGAAAGCTATGTTTCATTTATCATTCTCCTTGTGCACAGACTGCTCCTTGTGTGCTAAAGTAAACAAAACAAAAAAACTCGTAATTTGCTGATGTTTTCTTTTATTGAACTTTATTATGAGTGCATCACATTGCTTGAAAAGTAAAGCTTGGGCAAAGAGAAGGTACACCACAGAAAACAACTCTGAATGTGGCATACAGTACTTGACTTTTTTTTTTTCTTCCAGTGTTTTACTGATTTATTTATTTATTTATTTATTTTATTTTGAGGTAGCATCTGATTTCATGACAGAAAACCTAAATTTTCAACTTCTTAAATTGAAATTTACAAGCATAACTTTGTGTCAGTCCTTCTAGAAATATCTTTGATTTGGGATATTATGCTATTAGACTAGTTTTAGCCACTGTGTTCTGTCTTGGGAATTTGTACTCAATGGTAGTATGAATTAACATTTTCTGTATTAATGTTGATTTTACCCTGCAGGTTTAAAAACGTTTATTGAGGTACTTGGCATTATGCATGGACCAAAAGAAGTATGTGTCAGTGCTCTGAAGAAAGGCTATCTGTTAGCTATTTCTCCAGGTGGACTTCGGGAAGCACTCTTCAGTGATGAAACATATCCTATTATGTGGGGTAATCGAAAGGGCTTTGCCCAGGTGGCCATTGATGCAAAAGTGGTAAGTATGAAGTATCATGGAAGAGAACCAAAAAATGCTAGCTTCTTGTGGTTCTTTCTTCTAGGGGAAGCTGTTTTGATTATCAAATATTTGGTGTTAGACTGCTGAGTGACATGAATGCAGTCTACTTGCTTTTGTAACTAAATTTCATGGCTTGTCCCATTTGACAAGAATGTTTTGGAGTCATCTAAGAATACTGTGGTTAAGAAATCCAGAGTTTAAAAGAGTAAGAGGTGAAATCGAGGACAGTTTCTTGATTATGAACTTGTTTTATGCCTGCCTGGTTGGGGTTGTTCCAGCTCAGCCTCTTACCAGAATAACTGGAAAGCAGCCACACATTGCACTTCTATTTCTCCCACTGTTGAAATAGGCTGTAAATCAGCAGACCTGCCTCTGCTGTTGTTGTACTCATACGAGAAGCACTGGTGTTATGTACTGCATTGGTATTTTTGTGCTAGTGAGGGATCTTTAGGGCATACAGCAGCAACAAAAGATGCTGCTTATTAGTGTGAACTGTTTCCTCTTCAGTTCTTTTTCATATAAAGCACTGTCTATGATCACTAGGCGTGATTATTTGTATGGGACCAACTATGGAGTGCACATAAACACATAATATATTTGAATTGCAGCTGTTTCAATAATACTTTTCATTCTCTCTCATTCTGTATTTATACTTGAAAGATACATGCATATGTCTGCAGGTCTGCAAATACCTCATTTAAAGTGGTATCACTCCACAGGTTTTGTGCTTAAACACTGCCAAAGACAGACTACTTAAATCTCTGGATTTTATACCCAAGTAGAATATTTTTAAGACCTACTTTTAAATGGGTTTCACTTTTAACCAGGGGGAATGTAACGCATTTTAAGCAGGATACTTTCAACAGATTCAGAATTTTTGTAATGCTTTGTAACAGCATACGAAACTCCATACCATAATCTAGCAAATTCAACGATGCTTGGACTGCTTATCGTTATTTAACTGAATGTACGCTCAGTTTCCTTTCTGCACTCATAAAGATCGTGCAGCTTCAGTTTCCCCCACTTCATAGAGATGCAGAATAGTACTGGAGGTAGAATGAAATTGATGAGGAAAAAAAAAAAATAAAAATCTGTATTTAGATTGAAGAGGAACTTTAAGTCACCTTTAATCACGGGTATAACTATTCGTGGAAAGAAAAATGTCTGAAAATCAGTACTGGGATCTTCAACTTCCTCAGATTGTCTAATTTCAGCAGTTTGTTTACCAGAAATATTGTCATCTAAACCAATTTCTAAGTAAGATGTTTTAAAGATGATGGTTCTGGAATAAGGAATTTTATTACCATTTGGTTTAGGCAGCTGCACTTTTTTAATTCTCTACAGCTGCACTGGATTATTTACAAACTTTTTTTTTTAAACATCTTGATGCCTGTATGAAAAGTCTCATTTCCGTATGTTTTTATTAAAAAAAGCTTAAAAGAATGTGGATGCATGAAAATCTTAGCATTCTACATTTTGATCATTTGTTATAAATTGATGTTGGAAAAAAAAAATACGTGTAGTATAACCTTCCCCTCGTCACCTCGTTCTTGCAATTCTTGACAGCTGTTTGCAAGTTCAAAAACAGTAATAAAATCTGGAAATAATGACACTGTTCCAAATGTTCATCAGCAGAAATGAATCATGAGCCTGTACAGAATATGAGACATCATGTGCAAAGCAACAGTCAGCGCAGTAGAGATGAATCAGACAAGTTTAGGGTCCCAGGCCTGTGAGTTCTTTAAGCGTAACTATAAATTAGGCAGTCATCTAACCACTGGATTCACAAATGTGCAAGTACTTCTAGACAAGAGGAGGCTTAAATACTCCATAAGTTCTGAAGTCCTGTACTGCTTTAAGAATATGGACATGCTGAAACCTTGCTGTGTTCTCCAGGCTGAAACTTCATGGCAGAAGGTGGCAAAAGAACTTAATGAATCCTTGTTTTGCTCTCTGTATGTCCTTGTCTGACAAACACTTGAAATTAATTTGTGTGTTGGGTTTAAGTGAGGTAGCAGTTTTCTAGATAGTGTTATCTTCATTAAATTCTTAATATGTTTTTTCCCTCCTAGCCCATCATTCCTATGTTTACACAAAATGTTCGAGAAGGCATTAGGACATTAGGAGGAATAAGTAAGATATTTTACATATATTTTTTGTAGTTTATTTTTCCATATGTGTTTAGCCTATCTTTGTAGAAATAATCCCATATAGATTTGAGAATTGACAAAGCCTTATATCTTGAGGTTTACTTGCTAATGCAATGCAGGGACGTGACTAGGATTCAGTGTCAGCATTAAGTGTGGTATTAGCTCATCTCAGTCACTCTCAATGTGACAATGTGCTTTCCCAAAGAAGTAGAAGAAAGGAAAAAAAGTAGCCAGAAAAAGGCAGATAGGTTTAAAATATTGTTTTGCTCTGCTGATAAATGCTGGACATACTCTTAAGTTTTCTGCTGTTCAGAGGCAACGGTTTGCAGTTGACATTTCCTTTAAATAAGCTCTTAAAGCTCTGTGCTTACACTTAAACTTGGTAACGTTTGAAACCTATTTCATCCATAGTTGTTATACAGTGCACCACTAAGTCTGTAGTTCCGTACCAACTCGGGTTTGCTTGCTCCTTCCTCATCCTTTTTGGGAATTCTTGTACACTAATAGATGGGTATATATAGATGTCTGAAGAGCCCACCTTTGGGATGATTACGTCTGCCTCTCTGCTGATCTGACAGTGCTAGCTCTTCCCTTGCCCCCATTCTATTTTGTCTATGTGTGTCTTCCAGCTTGCTATCAGGAAGAGCCTGAATAGTCTCCTCCATACTGCGTGTTCTGTTTCAAATTATGCCATCATCATTTTCATCAAAGATCTGCAGGACAAAACAATTCCATTTCTCATTCTCTCTAATTAAAAGCTGAATACTGGATGGAGAAAGCTCAGACATCAAATACAGTCATGCAGAATGAGTCACACATTCTTTATGATGTTCTACAAAAATTAAGAGCATTGTTACTGTTTTCAGAATAATTTTTCCAAACTGGAAGAGGCTTAAGCCAGAAAGATAGATGCTACTTTTATTCTATAGCATGGGTGCTAGAGGAATTTACTTCTGTTGATTGCTGGAGACACTACTTTAATTTCAATAGTTTTTTTTTTTTTTTTTTTTTTTTTTTGAGATTGTACACAGAATAATTGACATTTCAATCACTAAGATCTTATCTTTTTAATATAAGGGAAAATTAGCACCCATTTTACAAGAATGCAGTTCTGGTAGTGTTTAGGATAGATGCTTAGGAAGTGACGTGATGAAGAACTACCCTCATAAAGCTGATGGAAATACCAGTTTTTCTTCTGTTTGTTTTCTTTTCCTCTTTGTGTAGTGTTTTACTCTAACCAGCTACTTCCTTATAGAGCTACTGAGTCTTCCTCTGCTTTGACCTCTTTGCAGCTATTCTTTGGGGGAGATGTGAGTGTGGAAGCAAGTCTTTTGTTAGTGTTAATGCAGCCTTTGGGAAATGAAAGCCAAGAGTAGAACAGTACTTTAGATGACATGCTTAAGATTCTGGGTCATGGGCTGGATTACTCAACAAGCCAGTTTCAGTTTTAAAACATGATGGGGAAAAAAAAAAATTGCAGAGTAATCTCAGTCTCTTTTTCCCCTTCCTTCCCTTTATTTCTCCCCTACTCCTTTTGTTCTCTTTTCCCTCCCGTCCTCCCTATTTTTTTTTTAACCTTAGAAATACTTAGGAAGCTGTATGAACGTATTAGATTGCCAGTAGTTCCTATGTATGGCTGGTTTCCAGTCAAGCTTCGTACGTTTATTGGAGAACCCATTCCATATGATCCAAATATAACTGCTGAGGAACTGACTGCGAAGGTAAGATAAATATACATGTAAATATATATTTTAAATATTGACTATTCTGATCAAAAGCACTAAAATATTCTTGTCTGGGTAATGATTTCTGCCGTGGAGGTAGTTGAAGTCGATAGAATTGTGCTAAACTTTGGACTTGCTTAACTTCCAGTGCCCCTCTTCAATGCTGTCTTTTATTACTACATCTTGCAAATGTTCTTGGCCTTTTAATGTCAATCCTGTACTCTATTTGCTTCAAGAAACATCTTGCGTTAGAAATTAAGGAAGTTCAGTCACCTAAGAGTACCCTGGGGTGGTTTAAAAAAAAAACAACACGATATGTTCACTTCACCCAGGGAGAGTGTTTCTAGATCATTTAAAAAGTTACCAGCGAAGTCTTTCAACTATAGCAAATCTGTGGCCACAGACTGATATTCCATAAAAAAAACCAAAAAACAATAAAAGCCATGTAATTCCATGGTTTTGAAAGTCTATTTCGATTTCTGTTTCCTCCAACTTCTCTCGCAAGAAATTTGTTTTAGAATGTTCGCTTTCTTCAGTTTAGGTGGTTTGTTAATTGTGAGGTCCTCATATTCATTCAGCTTCATGTTCATCAGCAGATTTCACAGTGCAGAGATACAAGTCAGGTAAGTGTGGGTATGGAGCAGTCAGACTGAGGCGGCCAAAACAGCTGTATTTGAAAGCTTCACAGAGGGTCATTTGTTTCATTCTGAAAACTTTACCCAAGAGAAAGGGATTTTCTTACTGAATTGCAAGTATCGATTCAGTTGTCTGTCATCACTTGCTTATCCTCTGATTAGATCTCTGCAATATGAAATCTTGAAATGTCTGCATTGCCTTGTTTGTGGAGAACTGAGTGCATCCTTTGGGAGTTCAGTCGGACAGAGCCTCTTAGAGAAGTGCTGGTTGCAGAAGGAAGGTGTTTGAATCACTTGCTGCCATGCTTTACTTTTGAACCTGTACCAAGGATCACTTTTCTCCTTGTTGAATGCTGGTTTTCCAAAGCAAGTAGGTCACTGTTCTGTCTCTGGCCTTAAGAGTTTAACAGTCTGTGCTCCTGTAGGCAGAACAGGAAAGTTACTGTTACCTCACCCTAACTTTTACTTATTGCTCTGTTTTTTGGTGTTCCCCACAGAGCTATTATGTAACAGAATGGCTGCTATTAACTTCTTGGCCTGCAACATTTCTGGGTGAAAGTACTGCCGATATGCACTATTTTAGCTGTGATCTAAGCATACTTTACTGGACCAGCTACTTCAGGGGACTTACATGCAGCCAAGACACAGTTGTGTTTCCAGTGCTGCTTCTGAGTTGGTGTAGAAGCAAAGTTCCTACATACTGAAAGAGTATTACTGATGCAAACCTGGGCATAGACAGTAGTTTCAGGGTTGTAGCAGTATACAGATACTGACGTGCATTAGAGATCTAGATCTCTTTGGTAGTTTACTTCAACATCATTTTACTATTGCATATCACTGATAGAGCTTGTGAACACAGCTACCAGAGATAAAAGCTAATTGTTTTCTAGCTTGTTTCCTAGCAATAATCCCACAGACACATCATGTGGGCTGAAATAACACTGAAAATAGTGTTGTCTACTTGCAGAAGATCTCCAATATAAAGATGAAAAGATCCTAGAAATTATGTTAACACATGAGCAACGTAAAGATGACCCCAAACTTTTCTCTTTCCTTGCAGACAAAAGCAGCACTCCAGGCTCTAATAGCCAAACATCAGAAAATACCAGGAAATATACTGAGGGCTTTAATGGAACGATTTCAAACACGACAGAAAGAAGACTAAGGTCTTCTGAGTAAGCTACTATTTAGTTATGATATTCTTAAAGTCGTATTAATAGATACTGTCCTAATGATGCTGTTGTGTATTTTAAGATGAGACACTTTTCCCCTGTCCAGTGTCAGGCTTGGAAAGCACAAACTTTAAGTAATCCCTGATGAGGTAAACTTAACTTTTGACAAGTGCATTCCTTCATTGAAAATGTTTATGCAAAAATGACGCTGCACGTCTTTATATGTTCATTCTCTTGTCTTTCTTTTTCCTTCTATTTCTTTTCACTCCCCTCGCCCCAGTCCCATAGTTGCTACTTAACCTGGATGTTAGATCCACTATAGAGCTGAAGTCTCACTGTTTTAATCATTACCACTGCAACTAGCTTATGTAGGCTAGGTTAACTGCAGCTATTTTCATCAGTAACATCTTTCTTCAGGTTGTTACTTCCATGCTGCTGAAAAATCTGTTGCTGATGGAAGCAGTTAACTTTTAGTGGCCTGCAGAACCACTAGCTATACCTGTAAAACCTGAGGTGGAAAATGTTTCATTTTACTGGGTTTGCTCAGAAAGTATTTGCATGAGTAGAGAGTAAAAGAACTGCAGTGAACAAAGCAGACTTGTTACAGAAACCACTCTGGTGTGTAGAGGGAATCACCACCCTGCAGCTTGGCTACTGTTTCAAGCTGATCCATAATGGATATTTACCCTCACCTGTAGTGCTGTCACTGACTGAATACTCAGTGATTCTAAATCTGCAGGTTGTCCTTTGAACAAATGAACCAAGCACTTACACTTTAAGAAATGGAAATGAGATGAGTATTTGGTAACACAAGCTCAGAATGCTTTATTGTAAAGGAAACTAAGAATGAATACAATGCTCCTTTAAAAAGAGATAATTCTTTGAAGGACAAGGTGCACATATATAGATAATATAGTATATATGTTAACTGTTAAACCTCCATATTTTCAAACAGTTTGAAACAATCAGACTTGAGAGGGAAACTGTATACTTTGATTAGGTAAAAATAATTGAATGAACAGGAAGGAGTTCTAGAATTGGGCTTATAGTAAATTACTTTTTTTTTTTTTTTTTTCTTGAACTAAAACCTACATTTTTACTGTCAAGATAGAAAATGTCTGAAATGTTTCCTCTGATTGGCAGCAAGCATGATCTACAGTCCTTAAACTAGTAACTGAGAATGCTTTATTTTTGGGATGCGGACAAATTCCTTAAAGAAAGTCAAAAAAGGTTTTTCTTTTATATTGTGGTCTTGTTTCAATAGTGTTGGGTTTTGACTTTTTTTCTTAAAAAACAAAACAAAACAAATGAACAAGAAACCCAACTTCAAAAAAAAAGAAAAAAAAATAAGTAGTTGTATTCAAATTAGTATCAATTCCCCTAAACACTTGAGCACATGCTCTGGTTTACTCTCCTTGAACTGAACAACAGTGGGATTATATAACTGCATGTGGATGATCGCCTACATTAGAATAATATCACAGTATGCAGTGATATTCTTAGAGTCTATGACTTGAAAAACCCCCAAAGATTACTTGTTTTATAATGTTACTTAATACCAAAAGCCTTCTGTTGGTGCTGAATTAAGTTTTTTGAAGCTTGGGTAAGAATTGTGTTATATTGAAGCAAATGCCCATTCTGAAGCTCTGAAAATGGTTTAGATTTTATTTAAAGGCAAGATAATCCTTCAGTTTTAGAAGAATTTATTTTAAAAACATAGTGTTAACACTGTGCATCATTAAAACTGATAATGCCGAGACACTGCATTGGAGTGAAACATAGGTATGACTTTATTTTTAATGTCTGTCTTGAGGAAAATGTTCTTCTATGTTGTGAAATTCTCAAAGGCAGCTGAACAAAACTAAACATTGAGGTTGTGTGTATGTAAAAGAAAACTCAGACAAAAAGATTCCAGTATGAATGAATGTGCCTTTTGTGATCAGAGACCTTGTAAAAATTTGTTTTGCTAAATGTTGGATGTTTGATGCAATTTTTGTCCCTTTAAGATGAGTATAACAAATGAAGGACAGTATTGGTACTCTTTAAGTGTTCATATTTGTATAGGTCTTTCATATTTATTTCTATATATAAAATTGTATAGAAGACACCTTTCAAATAAAATTGACAGTTGGAACAGGCTCTGAGGTTTCATGTTGTGTTTGAACTAAACAAAATTATTCATGGCCTGCGCTGTTGAACCTTTAGTGGTTTTGAGGTGTGTGTAATATCCTTGGAAAGCTGTTCCCATCTAGTATCTGAATAAGGGGTGGTAGAATCCAAGCCCACGAAGGAATGTATTAAAGAAAAAAGTAACTTGGACAACAGTGGAAAATGGGACAAAAATCATGTGGGGAATAAGGTCTGAGTTCTAATAGTTGTATTCAGTTCTGCAGGAGGCCTTACGAGGCACTGCAATACCACTGTGGTTATATTTATGATCCTGTGATAGAAAGTAAGTCATAAATACTGACGAATAAGATTTGTTTGTACATATTGAGTGTTTAAATGATTATCAATGATTTTTCATTGAAAAAGGGGGGCAGATCTGGAGACTTGTACAAATAAGATTAGAGTCCTCTTAGCTGATTTAGTTTACTATGTGTTAGGCAGAATTATTTAAAAGAAATTTTCAAAGTGTTATTCTGGAGCACTAATTACCTGATTAGCCTTTGGATAGGCTGAAGACTTTCCAGGTTTCTCTGTGGAAACAGCACAACCAGGATGCACCTTTTTAAGAGATTGTTTGGGAGTAGAGGTGGAACGACTACAGTACTGATAGGTATTTGTCATTATTTCTCAGCAAGATAACAAGCCTCCTACCAGCCAGTTTACTGTCCTGTTGTGCAATAGCAGAGCTCAGCCTGAACATCTATTATTAGGATGCTTTCTTATGAAATTAATCATTATACATAATACAAACTAGAGCACTTAATCAGCGTTGTCAACACAATTGTGTGGTTCATCTCGTATACTTGTCCACCAAATCCAGTACCACTATGTTACACTCTGAAGAGAAAGATACAACTATGGTGACACTTCAATCAGCTCTGCAGTGTTTAATCCCTATTAAATCTGTCATAAACACTAACTTGGCTTTTTTTATATTATTTTTGCACAAAAAGAAAAGTATCAAAAGTAATTGTGCATGGAATTGCTGTATGAGCATTACTGTGGAAAACATGTAGTAAGAAAGGTAATCTCCAAAACATTTCTGCTATAACTTCATGAGGCTGTCTGATGTCACTTATCTTCTCAGTTCTGTTGACTTTGTGTCTACAAAGGTCTTCAACCATACAGATCAGTGATGCTAGCACTTTTTTCATTATTTTCTTTTAACTCAAACAATGAATGGTCTCAAAGCAAATTACTCTTCTCATTGTGGGTTATTTGCAATATTTGCTTGCCTGCTTTTATTGAACAGTTTTATTGTGCACAGACTACTAGGATCTTGACTTTTGGTCACTGCATCCATTCAGTTCATGTCACATGCTCCTTCCTAAAACCTCTTTAAATTGTTGTAGTGATCTCCCCATGTTGGAAAATTGATCACTTAAAACATGCAATAGGCTTCCAGATTGTAGGATGCATTTGTTTTTAAACAGACTTTTCTATACTTTGTCACCCTTGTGTGTGTGAAACATTTCATGTAGTTGGGATGCCATTTGGAATTAACATCAGGCTGCACACACAAGATGAAGGCAGTATTTTTCTCCCCTTCTATGAAGCTGAATCAGCTGCTATAGAGCAGAACCTATTCTATCAGGCCTTGTGTTATAGTCACCACATCTAAACAAGACCATTTAATTTCACTCAGGTATTTCTGTCTGACACACACAGTAAACAGAATTGAGTCCTGTTGCAGATACCCCTGTTCTTCATGTATCCTAGAATGAGTTTTTCGGGTTTTTTTGCTAATATTGGTTTCAGGTGTTGAGTCTTTGCCATGCTCAGAGTAGCTCCAGACTTCCTTTGGTTGCTACTTACACAGGAACAAAAATATAAAACCCAATAGGCATTTGTTAGTTCTCTTTTTGATCTATTTGAAGTCTACCAAAGATACCTAGAGGTGTTGCTGAGCTTCTGTTGCAACTTTTGTGATTGAACTGCCAGCTCTCTGGGTGTTTCTTTAATGGCCAGATTTCCTTAGAGTATGAAAACTACTTTTCTAATGGATCAACCAAAATTTGGAAGTGCTCTGTCCCTTCTGAAATGGATTAGTTTTCTATTGTCTATTGTAGACTGGATTAATTTTCTAAGCTAGCTAGCACAGCAGTCAAAGGCTTGCTTGGCTGCTTTTTTCTTCTTTTGGCTGCAGATTTTCACATTCCAGACAAACTTTTTGGCATGCTGATTTTGCTTTGTGAGAACTTGAGAGAAGAAGTGTCTTGTAATTTGGCCCAGTCTCTGAAGGCAGTAATAAAAAATATGAAACGACCCACAAGTGAAACAATCACACCCTGACCCCGAACTAAATCTGGAATGCTAATTCTGGACAATCTTGAGTCAGATTTCATAGAAATAAAACTGCCTTGCCCTTTTTAATCCTTGCAAAGACCTGCTGCTGGCAGCTCTCGTGTTTCCAAGGCTAAACGTGCCATCTGAGTTGAGCAATCATGGGGAGCTTTTGGATGAAGTATTCTCAGGAGAAGTGTTCAACAGCCCTGAGGGCCTGTTGGGAGCATGCTAAAAAACCAATAAACTATAGTGGAAGATAGCTAGTAGTCAGTCCCATAGTAGGCTTACTCATCTGGCAATAGGACATCAAGGGTAGCTGTAGCTCACTGAAATCCAGCTATCAAGCATGCTTCCTACCAAATTTCTCTCTCCACCAGTAGTGTTCAGTGGCTCAGGTATCCTCAGCTATCTTCCTCAGGTATGGCTTAACAGACACTAGAAATTACGGCTGGGGAGCTGATTCAGTCAAATTCCAGTCTTTGTGCACATCTTACCACCACACTTAATGATTCTCCTGAGAGCAAACCCTACAAGGGAAACCTTCTGGCAATTAAAAAAGCTTTATATAAAAGAGCCTCTGGTACTTTGTGTTATACGTATGGTATCCACAATACCATTTTTGGAAGATGATAAGGTTTCCACATTGCAGCTATGATAGATGAACTGGCAGAGCTCTTAACACTGTGCAAGTTATTCAGCCCTTCTGGTGGAACATTTGGGTTGTGTATAGACCTGACGTTGTGCTGATCTCACCAGTTTTCAGCTTGCTATGGTGTTACTCTGTGCCTGGTGCCTCTAAATTACTTTTGCTCTGCAGAGCTTTCCTTGTGTTACGGATGTATGGTTTGGCAAACCATTGGAAATTTGCTTTTGTTGCTGTCTGCTGAGAGGTACAGAGAACTCAGCGTGTAGGCAGCTAAGCACCTACCAGTGTGCAGCAACACATGTAACAGAGCAGTGGGAGTAGAGAGATGACCTAAAAAGGCAGACAGAAAATCTCAGCCAACAGGGTGCATTAATCTCTCTCTTTTTAAAAAATTTCTTTTGTTTTTTGTTGTTGTTTTTTTTTTTTGTTTGTTTCTTGCTTCTTAACTTCTTCTGACCATTAATGGCTACAGGACCAGATACTAGCTAATCTTATTACTTACTCAGCACCATGTCTATGTGTGTGCATGATCCCATTTCTTCTGTGTAAACAGGAACCTGGAACTTACTTCAGCTGCTATTGCAAGAGGAACAGCAGGCCATTATTATTCTATCTACCTGCTGCTTTGAGAATGTCAAGATGATATCTTTCATACTTGCTTTGTCATTATTCTGCTTAATCATTTTTTATCAGTCTGTGGACTAAGTAGTTTCTGTAGATGTGCTGATTTCTAATAGAACTTCTCTTAAATCAGACAGCAAAACATGGGGTGTACCATGACAGCAAACAAATAGGTGGTTCCTAGAGCCCAAGTTTCAGATGTTCATACAGATTACCTACAGTGTAGGAGCTGACTGTATAGGAACATTTTTTGTTTTTTTTTTTTTTTTTATCAGCTGGAAGTTATACCTCTGGAGGATTTGGGCCCCATTTCCAATGTCTAAAATGTACAGCATCCACATTAGCAGCATGCTCACATTCAGACAAATAAAGCCTGGAATGCTCAGGACTGAAAGGAGCATTGCCACTTCAACAAACATTTGCAATACTGATTATTCTGAGCTCCAGAGTAACACACAAAGGAACAGCAGGTTTGACAATGGGGGAAACACACATACTCATATATGAGGGATTGTGAGCTACCAATTTCACCCAGAGAAAAGGGGGATCACTTTAAAAAGACCAATACTCTTTTTGGGGTTGTTCTTCAGAAGGAGTTTTGTCTCCTTGGCAAGCTGTCCTGTTTCACCAGTCGCTCGTGCTTTCCAGGCAGTGTGCCAAGCAAGAGATGACAGAGGAGACATGAAGAAGGAAAACATACAAACCTGTAGTATCAACCTTTTTGTGACAAGATGAGGATGTGCTACCTCCAATTCAATCAGATTTGATAATAAATTACTGGGAACAGCTCCTATTTTGCAACTGAGGAGAGTAAAAGACATTTGGCTATACATCAGTAGGCTGCATCAAGAGAAGGTGGAAGTGATTCATCCCATTGTAAATGCCCTGCTGCTGGGGTGGAGTGAAATCAATGTAAAGAGATTCAGCAGGTGGTGGCAGCTCGTTGAAGTAAATAAATCAAATGAAGAAAACATGACTATTCCCAGGTAATTCATATGCTGGCTATCAAAGTTTCTCTTTCTGAGAACCCATACTGCTCTGTGCATGTGCTGGATTTACCTTTTCTTGAAGTGGAAAAAGCTGAAAGATGATTACTGCCAACAATTCACTGGCCTTACAAGACCCCATAAAAAATGAAAACTTGATCCCACACAGGGCTGAGTTTTGAGTCTTTGCTTTTTGTCCTTTCATTTTTGTCCTTGCAATTTGCTCCTTTGCTTAGCAAACAGTGTTGCTCCTCACCAATTTCTGCTGCCCCCGGCACTGAAATGGATTAATATTCAGCAATAATTCTTAAGTTTGAAAAGCTGTAAAATGCAAGATAGCTCAGTGTTGCTCAGATATTGCAGTTGTTCCTGTTTTTAAGATGGAAAAAACAAAAACAAAAACAACCCAACATGTTTTATACTCCCGATCTGCAAAGACCTTTGCTTTCTGGATGCTTGTTTCAGACTTCCCAATACAGATGCAATAACTGCTAGCATGGAATAAAATCCAGTACTGCATTGCCTTTGCAGGCATCTAAGGACAAACACAGGAAGGATCTTTGCACGGGGAAGTTTACAGTGTGAACATTTTGCCTTTTTTTTTTTGACTTTTATTTTTCCCTCAGGCATATTGGCTGAAAGTTTGCAGCCAGTGTTTCTGATGTCAGAAACAATGAGGGCATGAGAGTTTAAAAGCGTTGTTGCCTTGGCGTGAATGGAAAACCACACTGCTGAAGCAGAGGTTATTCCTCTGAATATTTCAGTTGAGCTTCTCTGGGCTTTAATACCAAATTCTGTGTTTGCATCCTGACAAGGCGCAGAAGAAGCTCCAGTTGGGGCTGCATACCAGTTAGAACAGCAGTGATGTGAAGTGGCACATAGAGAGCAAGTTATTCACACAGCTTGATATGGATTGAAAAAGCCAGCATGGGAGGAGCCTTTGCTGCAGAATAACTTAAATCTGGACATTTGGAGCCTGTAAAGAACCAAGAGACAGCACACATACCTCTCTATGCATGGGCAGCAGCTGGTGGTGTCCAGCTCCATTTCTCACTTCCCCATCATGCCAGGCTGTGCGTCTCCTCTCTGGCTCTTCCTTCTCCTTCTGCGTGACCGGACCTGGATGCTTGCAACTTCACTTCTGGGCACCATGTCTTTGTGTATTTGTCCCTAACTCAGGCAATTGTAAGAGATATAACAAAGAGATCTTGAAATCAGAAGCTTATCTCTTTCTTCTTACTGCACCAGGTGCCTGGTAAAGTAAACAAGTAAATCATCTATCAAGAGATCTGGCTTCCTGTGTGAATTCAAATGGCACCTCCTTAGAACTGCTTTTGAATTGAGATAGCAGATAATGCAGAGCAAATTATTGCTTCTGATAACTCAGGTTTCAGAGAAATGTCAGATGAGTTCTTCAAGGCAAGCTGTAATGAACACAAGGCTTTTATGTTCTTCCAAGATTTTTTGTTTTTCTCTAAGGCTGCCCTGTTTTTTCTTCTTCATCCCTTAGGAAATAGGAGAGCTATGATCTCAAAATATGTTGCATGTGTGCACAGAAGAAAAAAGTACTCTGAAGGATAAAAGTGCTACTGAACACTTCCCTTCCTACTTCAATTCTGCTTCAGGCAGAAAGAGAAAGAGAGCACATTATCTCTGTGCACAGGAAGAAGCATCCTGTGGCATAGAATGCTGGTGAAACGAATTATCTATGCAAAAAAAGTTAATTAAAGAAGAGGTTTTGTGAGATCTGTATTCTCAACAATATTAAAATAAGTTAAAGTTCAACTTTCTCATGTCCCTCTTGTATGCTCTGCTGGGGAATGTCATACCAGACTGGAAATACATTGCAGTGACTTCTCAGCCATAGCTCAGGGAGGGGTGTATCATACCAGGTCATCAGCCCATTTCACCATGTAAACCAAGGCACACACTGGTTTGGACTGCTTCAGATCATGGGTAAACATTCCCACAGTGCAACATGCCTTTGTACAGTTCCATTGGGTTGAATGGCAAGTAATGAATGAAGACCATCACCAATGCTCATGTGCTCAGCAGGAGACACAAGAAACTTTCAGGTTGGCAGTAGCCACAGGTGACATCACATAGGTGATTGGGTAGCTGGATGGGACAGCAGCAGAAGCTTTCCTTTTGGTTCCCTGCTTTCCAGCCCACATTTTAAGCTCGTAACATGATGAAGAGGAAAAGGAGGCAGTGTGTCAGAGGTCCATCCGAGCTCTGAAAATAAATCTGGACAGCACTCTTTGGATCTTTCCAAGAACATTTCTTATTCAATTGCAAATGTTGGGAAGATGTCTGATTGTAATAATCCCTACAGGGAAGCCAAAGATGGAAGTTTTGCTTTGTAATTCTTTCTGTAACAGAGCCTCATGGAGGTGCAAGGCAAGATAAATTACTTTACATGCTAGATTAGTGCACCACTTCAATGAAATCCTGTCCCATTAGGGTGCTGATAAGAAACCTGGGAGATGCATCACCCAGCACAATCTATTAGCTATAGACTGGGATAAGGTGATGAGTCCAAACATAAAAAACTGCTAACAATAGGTAAGTGAAATTGGATAGCTCTAACTTTAAAGATTTGGTAGGTCAGATATTAAAGCAAAAGCCAACCTAGAGGCTAAACTCGACTAATTGGCTACAAGTCACGCATAGGAATTCATGTCACTTTAAAGAAGGACGGGACCATAAGGCGCATTTATTGCAAATTGCCAGCACTGTGGTGCCTGCTGTTGGCTGGGGCAGAGCTGCAACCCCTCGTTGAGCAATAGAGCTTCTCACAGGAAACAAACCAGCCCATTCCCCCTCCATCATACCCCAACACTGAACTTAAACTTCAACCTCGTTTTTCCCTTACACGCTCATGAAACATTGTGCTGTGCATACTGCTCACATGATATTTCCTCATTTTTCATATGTATTTTTAAATGCTATGTTTTATGTCATTTTTTTAGATATGATGACAAGTGACCATATCAAAGTCCGAGAATTTGCATGTCAGCACAAAAGATGAAGCTGGAGGCAAACGGTGACACAGGATACCTAGCAGAGCACTCTGACCAGCCAGAGGAACTGATGTGTGGGCAAGTTTCCTGCTGCTATCAGGACGTTGGTAGGACACTCCTGAGGACGCGAGACCTCTGGCCAAATGCCACATAGGCACAAGGTAACCTCGTAGCTTCTTTCCCACTCTGCGCTGGCATGGAGGGCTGGAATCAAAATCGCTGTGAGAAGGTGACAGCGTTTGAAATGAAGACTCAGATGTAACAGATGGCAAGCACAGCCCCAAGCAAAAGTAGATTCCCAAAGGAAAGCACAAAAACAAATACCAAACAGGCCTTTAAAGTAAATGAACAAACAAACAAACAAAAAGAGAAAGCCTTAAAGGGAAGTTCTTGGAAAAGTTACAAAATCATCTGAGAGAAAAGAAAGATGGGGAGGAACAAATGTGCAATAATGAAAGTGTGCTTTGCATAATGCTGCCCACTCCATCTGAAGGAGCCTCCAGATGTTCCGTGTTACTCTCATGTGACTGTGAGTTGTGAAATAGCTGGTGTGCTGCAAAGTGAGAAAATCAATGCTGTGTTCTAGGCAGCTTCTGATATCAAGGGAACAGCAGAACTACTTATTTGGTAGAATTTGCTTCAGAGCATGTTTCAGAATTAGCTCATCACTCACAACAACACCTTTTACAAGTCGATGTGAGTTGTCTCCTTGGGAAAAAGCAGCTGGCAGATGAGGCAGTCAAAACCTATTTTTCCAAAAGCAGCCTCTGATCTGAACATAGAGACACTGTGAGTATTCAGTCTGAAAAACAAGGGCTGCATTTTTCAAAACTGCTGAGCATTGCTGGGTCCTATCTGAGAGTGCTGGAACTGCAAGCCCTGACCACCCTCCAGAATGATGCCAGAGCAAGCTCCAGCTGAACCACTCATTCCCCACAGACATCATTGCCAGTGACTTTTTGTTGCTGACTGCAGGTGGAAACAAGCATCCATGCTGTGCATGTTGTAAGCCCAGAGCCTCAATGACAATCTAAATCAGAAATAGATGGAGACGACCAACAGGAAAGGCAGATGCTTCTGGCACCAGGCCTATGCTCAGACAACTTTCACCTTAATTTATTGAGACTTTTTTTTTTTTTTTTTTTTTTTTTGTGCAGCAGTGGAATTGATCAAGTTCCAAATCTGTACTAACTATAGAGATACCAAAAATTTAAAATCAGTATAAGGTTAACTTGCTTAAAACTTTGAGATTGCTTGGAGAAGAATCACAGGAGTCCACATATCAGTAATAATCCATTTGCTCAGTTTCCTTATTTATATAATAGAGTACATAAGCTTATCATTCCATGTTTTGAGACTTTATTCTTGAATTGCTGTCTCTGAGCTATCTGCTTGGTTAACAATGCACATATGGCAGTAACACAATGGTTGGTAACACTTACTGTGCTTATTGGTGTGCTCAGGGCAGTACAGCTTATGCTCACAGCACTTAATTAGAACCTGACTGAAAAGAAATGGCTTGATTGCTGGAAGACCCAGTAGGAAAAGTCTTCAGCTTTGTATATGGCTTTCTATGAATGAGAAATCTTTCCAAGTGGGAAAAACTGAGTGCTTAAGAATGAATACAATATGCATGAGCTGGTGTGCCTGACCACAGGTCCGAAGTGCTGCCACAGCAAACAGACTATACAGAATAGCACTTTCCTACTTTCCTGTCTCATTTCTATAGCACAGAATTTAGTGAAAAGATGTGTCTTATAACTGCAGTACAAAGGAAAAGAACTGTCCATCTCTGGTCGGCCTATCCAAGATTCCCATTGTGGTGGTAGGAAGATACAGCTCCCTTCCATACAAATGGGTCTCTGCGTACTTTATGAGCTAAGTTAACTGAGTGAATGTAGTGTTAACTACATATGAAATAAGTAGGAGAAAAAACATACTTGGATAATTTTGCCAAGGCACTTGGGGCTTTTATTACCAAGTCTCTATATTTAGTTCATCAGCAAGTTTTTTTTACAGGAACCGTAGCCATTTCTCAACCTCTCTCTCTCTGTTTTGTTTTGTTTTGTTTTTTTTTTTAAAGTAAAGAGAGGTGAGAACTGCTCTGAATAAGCACTGTTCAAGCAGCCTATAAAAACTTCTCCACTTCTTTCCTTTGTTAAGAATCTATTTAAACTGTCTGTTATCATTGTTTAGCTTAAAAAGAAACTGCTTTGCTTCTTACATGTCACAAACTTACATTAAAAGCATCCTGAAGAAGGCTTTTGCATCAGTGGTCAATAATTTGCCTAAAAAATATGTCAATTCAATTCTTTTATCCCAAGGTATGTAGTCCCACACCATGGCAGCTACTCACCCACTTAATGCTCTTTTACCTCACCAATTATAAAATTATTGGATATCATCAAATGACTTTCCAGTACCCAAGATTGTGGCTTTGATGACTTCTGTGCCTGATTCACGATTGGTTAAGAAAGTTATTTATGAGCATGTTTCTATCTGGTGGGGTTTTATTTTTATTTTTATTTTTTTTGTGTGTGTGTGTATGTGTGTGTGGTTTTGTTTGTTTCTTTGATGGGGATTTGCAGGGTTACAGAGACTGAGGATCTTAACTCTTGTGAATAACTCTTGTGAAATAGGGCAGTTACCAGTTATGTTGTTGGAGTGCTCCTCCTTCCATTGCACTTTGCCAATTTACAATAACAAACTGCTTTATCTTTAGCCAAACTACAAGACATGTAGTCAACAAATGCAAATTCAGTTACCTGTGGTATATATCTAGGTAGATAGTAGATAGATCTTTCTCTGAACTCACAGTAATTATTTAGTGCCTGATGGATTGTTTTCCCTGGCCTCTCTTTCTTGGTCACCTCAGATAGGCTAACAAGCATTTAAGAAGGAGGGGGGGCATGGCTAAGGGACAGAAGGGCTGATGGATTTGGGTACTGTCCTTCCTTGCACAAGCTCCTGGTGCTGTTTAGGGTGGCATTACATGCCCAAATGTAGCAATGAAGTCCTGGAGGGGTATTAAGATCATTGAAAGTGCTGCCAAAATCAGAACAACTTGTGTAATGATCTAATAATTAAAGGCACGTGTCCAAGAGGCAGGAGGAGAAGAAACAAAACCCTCCTCAACCCCAGGGGATTTGAACACAGGAAGATCAAGGAAGCTGCATCTTTCCTGGAGTTTCTCCTAGCTACTGAGTTCAGGACGAGGCTGGGTGAGGCCCGTCACTCCCTTGCCTTCTGTTGCATGGGGATGGATCACTGCTTGGTAGGTAGTGGTGCTTTCAGGAGACAGAGGAGAGGATGAAAACAAGCAGCGCGCTGTCTCCTGTTCCCTGTGAGCCACTTCAGGTGCTGGAGGAGTTCTGGGTTTCTGCACTCCTCACTCTGTATTCCATGTGGCTGAAATGCTTCAAGAGCCATGAGATCCACTGTCCAGAAATCTCCCCCTTTCCAAGGGAGCATCCTTATTACCTGGCAGCAGGGTCTGTGCCCTCCACAGGGCTGAGGAAGATGGGCCTGCTCTATGGGCAGTTTTTTGGGAGGCCTTCCTTCCAAACATCACTCAGGGCCCAGACCTGGGTACGCAGAGCACCCTGCTCTGCTGCTCTTGGGGTGAAGTGCCTGTGGGCTGTCTGGTGGCTTCCTCGGGGTCCCTGCTGTGACACCACTGGTAAAGTTGTCCACATCCCATAAAGATCTCTCAACTCTTCTACAGCAACCAGAAGTGGCTTAGGAACTGCTCACGCCACTCCTGTACTCGAACATAGAGCTCCTTTGATGATATTATTGACTGTATTGTAGAATAGTTAGAGGTGGAAAGGCTCTTTGGAGATCATCAGGCCAATTCTTTGTCAAAACAAGGCCAGCTTTGGTCTTGTTCAGTAATGATGTTGAAAGATGGCATCTTTTGCTGAGCCATCATTTTAAGAGAGTTTTTAAAGAAGACTCTAGAGCCATGGTAAAATGACCACAGTGTACTTTATTTAATGATTTTGGTACCTTGTGTTGCAATAAAATAAAAAAAATCTACAAAATCCAAATATATAAAATTTTCAAGTTTTCCTTTTTAAGTTTTACAAGAAAAATCAAGTTGTAACCAAGGAAATTTGTTAGTATGAAGCACTACTTTCAACTTCATTTCATCACAAATTGCAACTTACTTAACAGACCAAAAGAACTATGGTACTGCAGTACATCAAATACTTCACACACTGTGTTCTTTACTATAGCACATGTAACCTCTGCCAGGGAGACAGCAGTCTCTAGCCGATAAAGACACTCTTCACAATCTGAATTCTAAAGGAATGTTTGTATACATGGAATTGGAATATATATATTTACAGGAAGATTCTTTTTTTAGTAACTATTTTGATTCTTCATTTCAAATAAAATACCAAATACATTTTTACAATGTTTACAAGTCAAAGCACAAGTTCTGCAATGATTATCATTCACCTCAAGTCACTGTGCTTGTACTGGGGGGATATCTACACTGCTCCATAAACACAAATGTGATCTTCTGTAACTTTATTTCTGCAACGGTGACAAAGGAGTATAAGCACAGTAACAGTTATTTTAGCACAATCAGTGTATAATGCAACAGTTTGCAACAGAGAACTGAGAAACTATTGGTCCATTCTGTTCAATTTGCTGTTTTTCTGCCAACTGTTACGTTTGTTGTTGTCACATAAATTGTGTACAAGATAAGAGTTAAATAACACAACTTGAATAGGAAAGAGCACGCATTTTTTAAGGCAAATTAACAAGCAGCTTATGGTGTTTTTTGCCAAACTATACCCCAACGGAACCTAAAAATAAAATGTATGTTCTACAGCTGTCAATAATTAGGTTTTCTTGTTCTCCTCTATAAATTGATCAACATGGCTTTAAACCTGGTTATTCAAAATGGAAAGAACTCCTCCCCCCAATCCCCAAATATAGAAAGTGCATGACTTTTTATGCGCCAAAACAAAACAAAAGGCAGCTGAGGTAGTTAGATGTAAAATGTATTTACGAAAAATAACTGAAAAACTAAATCCAAGACATACACAGTAAAAAACCACCCATTTGGAATTGATTCTATATCATGCAATAACTTAACGCTAAGCAGGAGACTCCGTGATTCCTGAACAAAAGAAGAAAATGATTTTAGTAATAATAACAAAGGAATGAACACAGAATACACTATTGGAATTTGAATTTCAAGTATTTGAATCTATCTGCATGTGCACTTTTTTTTTTTAACAGGCTTTTTGTAGCATTAGGAAGTAACTTACTTTTCATCAGGTGTTGAGAACTGGTCTAACTCTGGTACTGTAGCTCCTGAAAGGCAGAAATACATCACAACAGCCTGAAGACTCACCACTGCCTGTTCATGCCACCTCAGCTTGAGTGGACATCTATGCACCCGTCCTCTGCTGAGGCCACCTGAGAAGTCACAGGCCCATGGGTTCCATGCCTGTGTCTCATGGGGACCTGATGTGCTGGGGGCATGCCTGGGGTGTTCTCATGTCTGGATCTTTGCACCACAGAGCCCTGTCTCTTCTTGGACCTCGCAGCACAGAGCCCTATCTCCTGGACCTCCCCTTCCTCAGCAGCGCTGCTGCAGATCAGGCGACATGGCAGCCTTTCCTCATCTGGCGAGAGGGACTGTGTCCCATGCCTACAGACAGGAGACTCCCCAATGGAGCTTTGGCCTCAATCTGCTCAGGATAAGGAAAGATTTAGGGCCTGGAGTTCTGGCCTTAGCACAGGGGCAGGCCCGGCATTCCCCCCTGCATCCTGCCTGGAATCCCTACCTAAATGCAAAATCTGTGCGTGCAAGCACAGGAAGAGACTTCAGGGTCTGGAAAGGAGTTTCGTGAATAAGAGTACTTCTAGAAGATGGCAAAGTTGGAGGTATGTTCCTCTCCTCGGTAGTGGCCACCTAATTCATCCTTTTACTAAATGTGTGTTGTGCTGGCTGTTCTGCACCCTGCTGTCAGACCTCACTGCTGATCCCTGCAGCATCACTGGTACATGAGTTCTGCACTGGGCACCTAACTCTAAAAAGTCACACTAGAGACCATTGCAAACCTATTGATTCTTTTTTAAATTTTTTAATTTTTTTTTTTTTAATTATATTTTTTTTGTGATTAGGCAGTGAAAACACAAGGTTTGTACTTCTGAAATGTGTGCATATGGTTCACACGTAACTTAGGAGAAAAGAACAATATATGAGGGCCTTCTTTAATATTTGCGATCCGTTAAACAAAGAAATGCTGAAACTCTTTTTTATTTTTGCTCACTGTTATACTCCTCAGCTTCCCATATTATGATTACGACTTTCAAATTGATGTGTCATTTTGCCCAGCTTCAGTTGTGGCAGGCCAAAACGAGGAATCACTGATGCTGAACCTACAAACTACAGCGGCAGAGCAGAGCTGCTGCTAATTGTCAGTAACCCGTGCACAACCTACACATCAAGGCCTGCAATTTTTTTCTGCTTTTACCACAGAACTAAGTGGAAAACTTGAACACTGAGGTGCAGGATTTCTTGAGGCAGTGTGATACTGCAGCGTTCCCCAAAATGTTTGTCAGTTTCCTGTTCTTTTTTTTTTAATTATTATTTTATTTTTTTTAGGTGATGGGGAGATGGCAAGGAGTGGAATTGTGAGAATCTCAGTTTCGCAAAGAAGCCAAGGCTTTATGACTTGTATGTAATGTATGAAAAAAAAAAAAAGAAAAAAAAAAAGATTTTCTGTTTTTGTAAGGGAGAGAAATATATTTCAGGTCTTTATAAAACCCAAAGACGCTAAAAGGCACACCTCTGAAACAGCTGTGAAAATGTTTTATTTCCTGCAAAACAGCAGCAAAGGCAATCCTTTGTTTTTTCCTCTGCATACCGATTTGCAAAGGACAGAAAGCTGCAGACGGCATCTTTTAGGACTGCATTGCAGCAGCTAATAAACTTGTTTCCATTCTTGGCACCAACCTCTAAGGGCTGGGAATCCAGCTTGATGGTTCAGTGCTTTGGCACTGTGGGTGTCTAACATCACTGCTCCTAAATTTTATTTGCTGCCTTTCCTTTCCAAAGAACAGGGTACAAACACCAGCCCCATGTCCCAGCACTCAGCATCTGCCCCACAAAGAAGCAGCCCTTGTCCCCATCACCCATTCAGCTGTGCCTGTAGAGAAACTGGAATAAATGGACCTACCTTTCTCTTTGTTACCCTAGCCTGTTGTCTCTGAGGTTCCTGCATCCCTGATCTGTGCCCTAGCACTGAAGACTGTGATGAGGTTGGCCAAGATCCAAACCCTAGATCCTTCTTGAATGGTTTAAGCAGTGAAATAGTGACAAGCAAGGGCTGGAGCAGCAGGCTGATGGGGACACCAGGAGACTCTTGCTGAGCTTATGTGAAAATTTCATCTCCTCAAATTGCCATTTTTTTCCCTTGCTGCCCCAAAGCCCAATGACTTAGAATTTATATAAATATATGCATTCTTCTAGAAGTTGAAATGTGTAGCTTAAAGGATTTCTTTTTTCATGGAAAATATTAAAATATTATTAATATCTCAGTTAGTTTTCTGAACATTTAAACAGATATTTAAATTTATTCTGGAACCCAGGAAGCTGTCTTTGACTCATTCAGTGACTCACAGAAATGGAAGACCTAGAAGTGCTTTATATTATTTGCAGAGGACTATTTTTTCAATACAAAGACTGATGTTCCTTCCCCAAAGATTTTCCTTTGCCTAATCAGTATTGGATGCACAGGGACTGGCAGTTCACTGATAGTAAAGTTCAAGTGTGCTGTAAAATAGTGACTAAATAGATTCCATAAAAATAAATTTCATCTGGAGAGGCATTGTGAAATTTAATAGCAAAATGACACTTGCTTACTCTCAGGGCTTACTGGACTCCAGTAAAGTCAAAAGAAAGTCATCCATTGCTATGGAGGTCCTTCAGGCAAGCCCTTTAAGATTATAAGCTGCCTATAGTCAAGGCAAATCCCAGTACAATAATTGCTCCTTTTCAGAGTGCTGGTGTAGGTATTACTTATCAGTGTGTTCACCAGGCAAAATTTCTCAATCAGTCCTTTGACAGTGTCTTTTTTCTTTGTAGACCATGCAAGAAGGTTTTGCAAGCACAGTAAGTGTGAATCTTTTAGGATCATCGGTCTCACATGAAATTGCTTCAGAAAGCTCACCAGTTTTACTAATGGTCTAGAAATACTTGTGCACACATTTTCCCCAAACAATCAAATTTGTCAGTCAACCTGAAAAAGAAACTTTGAGCTGTGCATCATAAGAGATGGAAGGTAGAAGCATGCACAAATTACCTAGCCTTATCTGAGTGTACATTTTGCTGTAATGACTGGAGAATATGTTCATTTTAATTACTACTGGGTTTATTATTAATAGTTTTTGTAGGAATCCATTTGGAAAACATACATTGGAAGGGCTGTTCCAATGCGAATTAACTGGCACACTCCTCACACAGCAAATTTCATGAGAACAGTGTACAACAAGGAAGAACAAGGAAAGTTTGGATTTGTGTGTGTGGCTTTTTGCTTTGTTGAATTTCTTTTTAATAAATAAAGACTGCGGAGAACTGAACAAAGTTTTAAAGCCCAGCTGTACCCTGCAAAATTACTGTCAAATCAGCATGATAAGGAACTGTGTTTATTGCATCTCAGTGGGTTCTGCATCCAGTGCTTGCAGTGAGAAGATAATCCCATTTGCTAATGCCCTGGATCAAGTCCAGAAGTCACACTGGGTTTGGCATGGACCTGCAAGGTGACAAATAATGATTGTTAAGTTGGCATTTGTGTAAAGATGCAGGTAAGTGAGCGTGGGAACAAGAGCAGAGCCAGCTTGCACTGGTGAGACAGCCTTATACATGGAAGGGCACTTGAAATAAAATGCAGTGATGCTCACTTGCTAGAATAACACACAAAGAATAGACAGCAAAATATCTGTCCCATTGTGTAGAACAAATTATGCAGAAGAGAGTTTCTGCCTTTGAGAATAAATGGTAATTGAGTTAAAGGAACTGCAGTTCATTTGAAGAATTGAACTTGCGAGAGGATTTGCCTGCTGATGCAGAGGGTTCTAGGTAAGTGGCTCTTCTGCCAGCATCTCCAAAACAAAGGAAATGTGGATGCCCCATCCCTGGAGATGTCCAAGACCAGGTTGCATGGGGCCCTGGGCAGCGTGAGCTGTTGGGTGGCAGCCCTGCCCATGCCATACACGGAGGTTGGGACGATCTTTAAGATCCCTTCCAACCCAAGCCATTCTGTGAATCTATGATTCTATGATACTTCAGGTTATTATGGGCATGGGTATCTTCTCTCAGCAGTGGGGATTGCACTGACACTTTTCAGCACAGGAAGGAAATGGAAGCAAGGAAAAAAAATCATAACAATGTCTAATAAATCCTGCAAACTTGTTTGAGTGAATGTTTGAAGAAAACACAACTGTTACGATGAGCTACACTTACAGATCACGCATGAAGGTTATGGACACCTCCACAGTGATTTCCTTTGCAAGCCAGGGTGCTACTCTTCCCACTTGTAAAGAAGCAAAAATTGACAACTTATAGTGTGGTTAAAAGTCCTTCAGCAGTGATGTGCATGAGAAGCTGAGTGATGAATACCTGAGCATGGAGAAATACCATGAGGGCTCATCTGCTCCATGTATTTTCAACTGTTCTCTAATTGTGATAAGACTTTTCCCACATCATCTACTATCTGTCTTTATTTTCAGCTGGTTTACCAGTGATCATCTCCCTGCCCCATGTACATGATCATGATGTGTAGATGAGCAAGATGATGTCAGAACTACCTGCACTAAGGAAATGTGAACTTGTGAATCCACTATTTGCTTATTCTCACATGTACTGCATGAGAAACCAAGTGAAAAAGTGCACAAAGCACTTGAACGACACTGAGCCTCTCCTATTCCATATAAAGAAACGCCCACTTTATGAGTCTAATATAAGTGATATGTTTTTGTGCAAGCCATCTGACATTTATCCTCTGTAAAGAAAAATATGCATTAAAAAGCCATTTTTTTCCTACACACCACTACGAAGATCTACAATTCCTAGATTTAACAATCACTGACACAGCAGCCATAGCAAATCCTTGCTTCATGTGCTCTAGTTTGAGATGCCTCTGTATATTATTGCCAGTAAACAATTGCCAATAGCAGTGCTAATATCTATGAAGTGGCTTACAGTGTCTCCCTCCGTGTTCCAGTGAGCTCATAACAGATCTAGAATGTTCTCAGCTAACATCTTTAGTTGCAAAGAGAGTAACTGCAACACAAATACTGTACTGGCATTAAGGTTGTGCAAGTGTTGATTTTTTTTCCTGATAAGACTGCTCCTCCCCTTAGTCACTGAAACAACCGGGGCAGATTTCCACAGTGTTTCACAAACCCTTTTGATCCTGCCCAGAGGAATCCTTTACTTCCTAGTTTTCAAGAGTTTTTGATCTCTGGTCTCCCTGCTGAGGGTACCAGTGGGTTCACTTCCATAATAAAAGATGCACACTGATCAGTTGTTGACTCATGGACATGTACACCCTGGGCAAACATTCCATTTTTTTCCCTTCTGCTTCACATCAAAGAAGCTAAAATCTACCTGTAAGCTAAAAGCAATAAAGGAATATAGTTTTTCCACTCATTCACCCAGCTTCTAGTGTTGGTAAATGTGTTTATGTGTTTTGGGACACAGGTGTTTCTCCAGGAGAATGCTCTACAACCAGCATGGCCATCTCAGAAATGAAACTGGGTTGACTCTGTGATTGGTGAGGAATCGGGTGATCAGAAGGACACTGGCAGCACTTAAAGCTTCTTCAGCTCAGCAACCCCTCCACTCCCCAAGCACAACCTCTGGCTCTGCCAAACAAATCCAGTGGATGAATGACTCAAAAGACAAATGATGAGGGTTTAGTTGGGATGAATTTACTAATGTTGCATTTCTTGTGAATGTCCCTGTGCAGTGCAGGCACCGCACTGCATGCAGCTGGCAGTGCTTTTCTTCCCCCTCTCACTGATTAATGTTCGCTCGCAGGAGCCTGATTACTGTATTACAAGTCGCAAATTTGCAAGATTAAAAATGCCTGTTGAATTAATTAGCTGCAAATCAACCTGAGCAAATCTTGACAAGCTCCAGGTTGTTCCAGTGGAATAAAGAAAGAAGGAATCAATAGCAGCCACAGATACACGACTGTGTGCTGGCACACAACATATAGCAGCATTTTCCCTTTCTGCTGATAACAGAAGATTTGTTGTCCATACAGTGGTGCCTGAAGAAATTAACCCTGTCTGAACTGCCATGCCATCTCCTGGAGCATCCCACTTTTCCTTCCCCAAGAGTGAGAGCCGATGCCTGCAGTGCTTACTCTGAGACACACCACTGCATGGGCTCCTGTGTCCCAAAACAGGGATGTGGAATGACACTGGGAGGGGCTGGGGGCCACTTTTGAGCCTGTCTGAGTCCATGGTGATTAGTTCTAATCTGTCTTATAAAGCAGATCCTGTGGGAAAGTTATGACATTTCCCAAATGCAGAGCTGAATGCTGTATGACGGCTGGGTCAGGAGCTCTGACTTACACCTGAACATCAGCACAGCCAAGGCTTTCATGAAGGTTATTGAACTGTTCTTGTTTTTAGCCAGGGGTTTACAGAACTGGGACTTGGCAGCTTTTTAAAGCTTAAGAAGAAGTGTACCACATAATTGAAAACAAAAGCTTTCAGTTAACTGGCTCATAATCTTTTCCTCAGCTTTATAAAATTTAAAATTAGTTCGTATCAAGCATTGACTAAGAAACAATCTGGGATACACAGATAATAAAGCAGAATGCATACTCAGAAAAGCAATAGTAATTAAAATTTCAGAAATAGCTGCTGTATATTCACGGTACTTTTAAAACGGCAGAGGTAGTTTCATCTACAGATACATGCATTTGAAATTTATCATCAGGACGTAATCCATGAATTATCAAAACCTTATTTCTGACAGCATGTTTCAGACAACTGCACATGTGCTGGCCAACAAGCATTTCTTTTGTGCTTTTCAGTCAAATGTCAAGTAAACCAGCCGCGGTATTAGAGGTTATTTCCAATATAAGCTACTGACACTAATAACACTGATATTCAGTGAAACAAATACAGCCAACACTAAATGAGACAAAGGGCAAACTAATCACTTTGCTGTCTGCCTATATGATGTTTTTCCTCAACTAACCATGATTAATTAAATGTAGCACTAAATATTTTTCCTCCACAACTTTCCATTAAGTTACTGACACAATGCATCTCAAAGCTGTCTCCAATAATGACTAGAGTGTGTTTTTCAATAATGTGGTTTTTCTTTTGCAGTTATCACTTGATTACTCTTAACGATGATGACATTCCTGATGCTTTTCTTTACTTATAGCATTTAAATGAACTATAAGATTAAATCCTAATAGAATCTCAGGACTAAGCGTACACACAAGGATTGCACTGTGGGCTCACAAAGCTGTGGCTGAGGCTTTGTGGTGCAGCTCTGATGCACCTGAGCTCGCTGACTGAGCTCTCACAGCAAACCAAGAGGATGAGGCCAGGCTAGCACACCGCACTAACAGACCAGGCTGAAGGCAGCGTGCAGAGATTCAGGCTTGTCACAGTGCTAAACATGTTCATACAGCTTTTGGTCTGGTTTGTTTTGTATCTGCCCCAGATTTTTTACTGTAGACATTACTCTGGTTGGACACGTGCAATAGCGCTGGATATGTGTGGCAACCTTAGAGTCCTCCTCACTAAGGGGACGCAGTGAATCAAAAATATGTCTACACTGCACAGCATAACCTTGTAGTCTTTCACAACGAGGGACAAAAACCTCAAAACAAGAGAGAGCAAGCATGCCCTCCTCTTCAGTAGTGTGCAGCCCTATAGCCTTCCCCTGAGAGGTAGTAGATACGATATGGAGATAAGGATCGCTGTTAGCTGAAGAGAGAACTGAGCCTGGCTCTCCCTGCAGTCTCTGCTTGCCAGAAGTCTCATGCAGAAGAATCAGTCATGGGTATTTCTGTGCAAAGCTCTGTTTGATAGCACCCAGAGGACCCTGCCCTTCAGGTAGGATTCACAGAGGAATACCAGCTTGGGGGATCTTGGCAGGCGTAGACAGGAGTTGCACTGCTATGCACTATGAAGACTGAGGTGCTCCTGACCAAGGCCAGAAACAAAAGGCCTGAACCTTTCACATAAAAAATATGCAGGAGTTCCCGGCTTGTGCAGCTTGGAAGATCACAACATTAGCCTGAGGTCCTCGGTTACCTTGTTGACCCCTCCATGTACTCCATGTGGTTCTCCTCTGGGCGGACTCTTTGGCACCTAGGATGAGCAGGGATTGGTGCACCATATGCACCCCTTGCCCCAGTGGGTTTGTGGCACACAACTCTGAATGCATCTTGCCTTGGCTACCTCTGCAAAGGCTCTTCTGGATGTTCAACAAGCAGCTTCTCTACAGTTGGGAAATTGCTTAGGGGTGAACAGTATGTGGCCTTGCCTATGCAAGTACTGATTCCACTTATAGAAAAGCTGCTGGCATGTCTAGGGCTACAGCATTCATAGAAGTAAGATCTAGAAGCAACTGCTTCCAAAGATACATGAAATACGAGAGTGCAATCCACAGACAGAGAAAATGTTTATATCCATAGCAATCATATCTATGTTTCTATGAATGTAGCTTCTTGTTACACTGGATAATCCATTCAATTTCTAAGTTTCTCCCAGCTATTCCTGAAAATGAGAGTTTTGAGTTGGCTTTAAAGTGTTTTGTTGCTTTTTATTAAATAGTGCTTTGCATGTAGAGTTTTAGATTTGATCTTAATATTAGTTGGCCACCTCACAATTAATTGGAAATGTCTATCAATTCATACTGCATATAGCTCTGCTGTAATCATATGCAAGCTTCTCTCTTCCATGTCTAACTCATGCAAATCGCCCCCTAAATGTGCTGAAGAGGCCTTTTTCCCTGCATCTGGCTTATCAGCCCTTTCTGCTCCAGATTCAGAGTAGGGACATGGCTTACTAATGAGTATATATGATTCTCTGCATAAGAATTAGATGCAAAGTGTTCAGAACAGAATGTAAGTGCTGGAGCCAAGTTGTTTAAGAAAGGTTCCTTTTAGTGAAGGTACTGGTCAGCATTTGGTTTGTACAGGGATCACTGGAAACAAGTGGGGTTTTTATAGACATTTTTCTAAGTATTCTTAAAATGACCACAAAATAGCAGCTCAATCAAAATGGATATATTAGTCAATGTTTTAACTAAGGAAGAAAGAAATGATTTGATTCACGCAGTGTAGCACTAAGCTCAGAGTGTGTGAAATTATTCACTCAAGGGTTTTGTGAAGAAATTCCACCAAACACCTGCAGTGAGGTCACTGTGCTAAAGCAACCTTACAAACAATCTCAGTGGACTGCTCACATGCTGAAAGAGCTCTGAAAGTGATCCGTGAACCAGTGACACATTTCTCTAACCTGGTGCAAGCAGGGCTTTATTAGGTCATTTCCTACTTTCCTGTAATGAAATCATCTACTCATATCAGATGTGAGAAGTCTTCTTGGATGCAGATCACTCGGTAATTTGCAGCCAAGTGAAAAGAAAGGATAAATGTGTTTCAAAAAATCACGACCAGTGAATTGCAGTAATCTACTACTTTTTTTTTTTTTTAATTCACAAATTTCAACTATCTGTAATTATTTTGCACTTTATCTGTTTTATCAAAATGAAGAGGAATGGATGCAATGCTGTAATGAAAAGACCTAGCTCTAGAAACAGTCAAGGGAGGGCTTCACAGCGTAATATCCCTGCCATATAAATGGCTGTGTGCCACTACTCCATTTGGCTTTCTGCTGAAGAGCATGGGCTTCAGGAGAGCTAGCCTAATTGCTACAATTAGCAAAATTAAATGGCTTATTGTTTATTTAGACAATTCTTCCCACATTCGGCATTGTTATGCTGCAGAACTAGTAATTAGTGTTGAGCTTGTAAATCTGGGGACGCGTGTTGTGATTATTTTCTCTACGCACCCTCGTATGAACTCAACCTAAAAAAAGCCTTTTCAGCTGGATGCACAAATGTGATTCACTCCACTTCCCACCACGCACAGGAGCAAGAGAGGCAGCAATAGGACCCCAGTACTCCGCTGAGGGCTTTTCCTTGGCATTATGCAGGCAGTGCAGGGGGTGCAGAGCAAACCACAGCATCTCAGCTGCTCTGGGCTGTGTGATGTTATGGGCTGAACAGAGAAAGGACGGTGGCTTTGGGAGCTGGATCACTGGCAGAGTTAACTAAAACTGAGAACGGTGCCATTTTTAAGGCTTTTATGGAATTGGATGTTCAATTCAGAAATAATTCTAATTGCTGGATGAAGGGTTGTACAACAGGCTAGCTGTGAATACTTGCAGGCCAATCAAAAGTAAATGAAAATGTTGGCTTTTAGGTAGACTGGGAGTCCCTTTCCAAAAATAGCACCAGTCATGCTTTTATTACCACTCATGAATTGCTCTTTTGGGTAGATCATGGTATATTGATGAGATTACCATATATCTTTTAAAAAATGGGTTGATTAGATTTTCACCATGTATTAAAAACTGCAACTCCAAAAACTTTTAGATTTTCTTCCTCTGCTTAAAAGTTTACAAAATCAGACCTCTGAAGTCTAGCAGTTATGTTTGGAAGGAATATTTTCCATAATCTCAATGCTACATAAATTAATTAATACAAAATTTGTTAATTTGCCAATGAAAATAGTGTTTATATGCCACCAAGCCCAAATAACCCAAGCACAGAAACACTGTTCTAACACAAGAAGCGTATTTTAGCTGACACAAAGAGAAGTGGAAAATATTTTTATCATCATTAAAACTGCATTAAAAAAAAGTATTGCACATTTTTTCAAATATTATTATAAGACTATCTTACTATAGAGTAAATAACACTTCTTTTAATATAAGACAAACAGTTTATCTTACATTTTCTGACTGTTTTTTGAATGAACATGGGTATGCGTTCTTTTCCTTTAGAGCAGTGAATTACCACACAAATCCACAGCTCTCAGAATTTTAGGACCAAGATAAGTTACCTTGAAATTTGCTGGCAAATTTGTTTGGTTCATTAGGACAATGCTTACATTACACTCCCTTCTAACAGAGATGTGACTACTTTCTTCATCAGAATGTAATTATGAACATTTTAATTTCCTGTTATTCTGCAATAGAATTTAAAAGACCTGATTTTTTTCTTATTTCAAAAGCAGAAGATTTTTTTTTGCTATTGCTGTCTTCGTTGAACTTTATTGATAGACCTTAAAACAGTTTGCATTAAAAAGAATAGTGCATATTGATTATTAACTGGTCCATATTGATTATTAATGGTCCGTAAGGCCATCATGGGATTTAAATGTGGACCATATTTAATTTTGACAAGTTGTATAAAAAAATTCTAACAGCTTTTATGGTGACTGTTCACAGCAAAGCAGACTAACAAAACTGTCCATGCAGTCATCTGAGAGTTAAGGTTTCAATGGCCGTTCTGTTCTCAGCGCAAATGTCACTGACATTACAAACATAACAGAGCAGGGCTGTGGAGAGCAGATTTTCACTCAGAATAAAATGACTTCTTATTCCAGAAACACCCAGCCTGAATTCAGAAGGCAGTGGAGTACGCATACTGCTATGTGTGTATGTAATGTCAAGTATGGCACTGTGCACTCAGAACCTGCAATAGTTTGCTTGAAATGAATTTACAAGCTCTACTAAAAACATACTAAAAATGATGGGAGGGTAAGCACATTAACTGGTAGATACTAACAGTGGAAAAAAATGAAATCTCTGTATCCTTTCTTCCAAAACCAGAGAGAAAATCAAGCATACCCACTGCTCGCCTTCTTCAGAAACCTTGCAATGCAAGCACTGGTTCTGTCCATAACCCTTTGCAATCTGCACTGTTTCTTCAGTGCTGTCAGCCCTTACCAAAGGGCTCACAGCTCTGAGGAATAGCAACATGCCATGAGAAGGCCATCAAAAGAGGGCCAGGACTGCTGATATCTGGGATGTTGTCCTTCTCTCCAGGAGAGCCCATGCGGTCGGAGAGCACTGCCCGCTGTGCCCCGCTCACACTGTTTCTGAGTTACCAAAGAAGCACCAAACATACAGAACGGTTTCAGAAAGAAATCCTCACATCTTGGATTACAAAGCTTACGCTTGTTTGTAAAGGCAAATTTCCTTTTGATACCAAACGTTGGATTCTGGAGCGAAGGCTCTATTGGATTCATTCAGACAAAAGGTTTTGTCCCCAGATCTCTTTTAGCAGTTTTTACAGCGGTGTATTTTTTGACATAACGTGAGAGATCTTCTTCATAGTCATCTATGTCTGCATGGAGGGAAGGGCAATCACTTTGCACAAAGCTTTGGGTTTGGACTATCAAAGAACTTTTTTATTTAAAAACGGTTATCGAGGCAGCTGGCCACTGCTTAATTTGAAAATACCTAAGAAACCTTCAAACATGGGTGTTTCCTGATCTGTGCAAAATTCCTTCTGACTTGCAGGTTCCTGCACTTCCACAGATAGATATTTTGTTGTGAGGAACTAGCCCCAGCAAAGATCAACAGATACTGAGCATTTTTCTAATAAAAAAGTCAACATTAAAAATGGCTAATTGAATGCATACAAACAAACAAAGGCATGTAACCTCTGCCATTTCGTACTACAAATATTAATAACAGGAAAGACTGAAATTTACCCAGCAGCATATACAGCAGTGACTACACTGAATATACCTGACATGAAGATTAAAATACCAATCATCAGGTCTTCTCCACCCTGACAATGCCATTTAAAAAAGTAACACTTCAGTTCTGCTTCACTCTCCTAGAACAGATGGAAATAGTTTTAGCAAATTGCTTCTTATAGAATCGCTTGGTCTCATTACAAACCACTTATACTTGAAGCAGGATCCGCAGTTTATGGTGTATTCTAAAAGTACCCATGTAGGCTTTCATATCGCATTACACTGCAAAAACAAACCCATAATGTGTGAAAACCAGGTTTGTATCAACCTGCAGAATCTAGCTGATAAAATTCATGGACCAATTCTTAAAATCTAAGCTATAAAGAGAATGAAATGTATTAAAAGATTTGAGGTTTATAAAAAGTAACCTTTTTATACCATATTTTTACTTTACAAAAATATTGAAATAATTCATGAGTTTTTCACTCTGCACCAGCTTTAAAAAAAATACTATCAAATTTTGACTTGCACCTTTAATGCATCTGAAAGCACCATCAGGGGATACTTTTAACATAAAGAAGGATACTGTTGACTAGATTTAGGGAGGTATTTCAAACCCAAAAGCTTGTAGCAAAAGCACTCTGTATTACAGTGTAATTTTTAGATATATCTGGAACAAGTCCTGAACAGGCAGAAGAGGGCTTCCACACAGCTTGGTTATGTCACACTTCACTGAATATACTTACTCAGAGGTGGCTGAAAGTCTTTAAAAGACATCACTTTCACCTTGGGTGGGAAAAATCAGAGCTGTCTCGACACGTTGAGAACTGGATTGGTCTTTCCTGCTTCTTGGTCTCGTAGGGTTCATGCCACTCGTGATCTGTCCCTTGGGCAACATCAATCTTGTGGTTACACAATGTTTGGCACTAGAAGGGTATGGCATGTCACAGTCTCTTGTCACCCCTGCATACATTCACACTGAATCATGCATTCCCAGTTCTGAAACAGAGAAGTTTCAGCGTGTTCATCTCCTTGTAGTTCCTTCTGAAACATCTGAATGGGGTCCTCCAAAAAACTTTAGAATATGAAAACTATACTTCCCTGTTCTTTTACATACATATATATATATTTTTTGCAAATTGAACATTGAATCATGATTATCATTTAATTTACATCACTACGTGCTGGAGCTCCTTATTTCTCCTGAAAACCAGAAGTGAGAGCTGCATAGGATTTCTGTTGAAAGCAACATAAAGGACTTAAATTGCAATTAAAAAGACTTTGAAATTCCACAGAAAACAAACAGTTCTGGCGGTGTCAATGTTTGTGAGCTATATAATCAGTTATTTTCCATTTATAACCTTGCTAACATGATGATTTCTCTTTTTAATTAAGAACTATTTTGCAAACCTGTCTAACCTGAATGATCTATTTATGGGGTGTCAAATACTACTATGCTCCTATTTTCCCCTAGAAACCAGTTTTAATAATGGCAACATTGTGTGCTACAGTTTTGTTATTTTTGAGAGGATTTTTCTTTGCTTGCTTTTGCCATTGATTATGCAAATATCAATCATTCATTTCTAAAATAAAATGCACTACTGGCTAAAGTTGAAAGCTCTGGTCAGAGCCCCCCTGTTGATTTGCTTGTGAGTACCATGCAGTCCGAGTTTCATAGCAGCAAGGAGTCATGGGTGAGTTTTCCCAGAAACTGATCAGTATGTGTGGGTTGGTTGTAGGCTTTTTGCTTATTTTTTGAGGATTTCAGGTGATGTTGCTGTACCAGTGTCCTGCAGATGGACTGCACACAGTGGATCAAATGATAATCATGATGGTAGCCAGACTAAGAACACTACAGCTTGTTGTCCTAATGGTAGTACACAGTTTGTTATTCCTACAGCCCTCCCATCAATCCTTAACTTGGACTGTAACGGCAGAGCTTCTCCAAGCTGCGTTTTTGCTTTGTCTATAATGTGGTTTCGTATTCCAAACGCTCCTGGATGAGGGCATCATCTTTATACTGTAGCCGTGGAGGAGCAGGGGAACATTCAAACGCTAGGATTGCCTTCCTCAGGCTCCTGTCCAACACGTGTCTCTCCCAGGCTGGGTACCTGTTCCTGAACAGATCGATCTTAATGACCGACTCCTCGATCCGGGGTGGGCGGGACGAAGGTGTGGATGGAGCAGTGGGCCTCACCTGGAACACAGGCACACACCCATCCCTCTCTGCGAACTTTTGATCCCGCTCACTCGTCACACTCCGGTTGTTGGAGATGGACCGAAGGGTGTTTGTTGCCACTTCCGTGGGTAGGGTAAAGGCAGCTGCAGGGTCCTCACAAGCACAGCTTGGCGACTGCCCAAACCTTGGTCCGTTGGGATGAAAGAAGGCATAGTACATCAGCATAAAAACAATGCCTGTCAGAAAGCTGCTGAACACCACACACAGTGCTGGTATGGCAAATGCATCGGAGATTGGTGGGGCCTTGTAGAGATACCAGAGAGCACTCAAGGCGGTGTTTTCCAAAAGGATCACAAAATAGTAAATGAAAAGCCTACAGCGTGTCCTTCCTTCCTTGACGTTAAACCAGCTGAAGATATAGATAATTCCAACAACCATGTCGAAAACTATCTCCTCCCATTTGGTGATGCAAAACTCTGTCTCGCAGTGGACAATCCAGAAGGTCATGATGCACCAGTGGAGCACGATGAAGATCCCAAAGTACAGCTGGAAAACCGAGGCAAAGAGAGCAAAAGTAATGACCCTTGCTGCAATGGTGAAGAAATGCCAGCAAAACTGGATTATAACAGCCATGTAACTGATGGGTTTCTTGTCGTCACGGGAGTCACGGAGGGCCTTCTGGTAGGAAGCCAGAGCCCAAGCTAGAGATACGAGAGATGCTGCAGCAGTAAGACCTAGGAGAAAACAGGAGATGAAGTTAGGGCATAATTGGGATATCAGTGCTTCGTTGAAACCAGTGAGATCCTTGCTGCTGTAAATGCACTCCTCCATTTGGATAGTAAGATCTCTTTCTTCACCTTTAGCTCAGTCAGTAAGGAGAAACAGACCTTATAGCTGAGATTTTGCTGCCAGTACAAGCACACTGTATGTTAGATACACAAGAAAAAGAGTGGCTAATAAACTACATTCTGAGGCACTCATTTGGCAGCTTTATGTTTGAAATCAATTCAGCCATTCGCAGCCTAAAGGAATTCAGGAATAGGTGTCTCTGCCATCTGTGTGATTTAGCAGGATCTGCTCTGGTTATCGTATTCAAGAGTATGATTTTTCTGATTTTGATGAGTCATTCAAGAAGTTCAGTGTAAAGCAAACAAGCCTTTCTAACTAATTACTAATGGCTTTCAAATTACATTCTCACATGCAGTTTACTAAATCAATAAAAATGTGAGAATATGTCCCCATTTTTAAATGAAATTAAACTCCTGTCATATCAAAATTTAACTGCCTTACTCTTGCTGGGGGAAAAAAAGGGCACCCATTTTGATAATCCCATCACATTTTAACAGAACAACAGTTGGAAAATATCAAAACTTCATTTTATTGCAATTAGAGGTTTAATTTTAGAAATGCTGGAATTTTCTATGGAATTAAAATTCAGAGTGTAGATAAAGTCAATTGACAGTTATGAATACATTTTCATGGAGCCTCATACATATCCCATATACCACAGAATTTCCTATGTAGAAGGCCCTAAATGATAGCATTTCTGAAGTACATATCAAATATTTTTCATTATAGAGTGCAATACAAAATCATTTCTCATGAGATTATTTTTGTGAAAATAATTCTCTTTCACTCAAAAATGTAAAAACAGTAAAAACTATTTTCACAAAAACTTTTCCATACTTATTTTGAGTGTGTATTATTCATTTTATTTAAAATGAATTTGATTGCTCTTGGAAGCTAAACATAAAAAACTTGCTTTGCAATTGAATCTCATTTTTAAATTCATCTGTTACTTCCATTCACTACCAGACAGATATCTTACATTCCCCATTTAAGCAGTGATTTAGTTTAAAATATTTATTTGAATATTTTAACACTTACAGAGCATTCTGCTAGAAATACATTATAATTTTTCTTTGCTAGATGATTAATTTTTATTTACTTATGACTTGTATCAAGCTGCTTTGTTTGGATGGAAATGGGAATTCAACAGAAAGGCAGAAACCCTGCACAGGAAAAATATATCAAACATTTCATACTTAAAACTGATCAGCTGAGCAAATTTTACATGCAGGTAATGAATAGAGTTGTAGACCACAAGAAGATAATAAAATTTCAGCTTGTTCAATGTCTAAACATTTGCTTAACTTTGAGCAAGTTATTGAAGAAAATGAAGCTAAAAGGAAGAAAACATTTCCTTTGTCTGCTGTCAAACGCTGTTTAATCTTTTCAACAAACTTCAGATCTGAATGCATAAACAATATGCAACAGCTTTCTTTAGCACCAAACCATCAAGAATAGAATACTTAAATACAAATTCTAAGTATATTTTCTAAACACACAGTGGTAAATCTAAGCCAAAGCACACGTCACCATTTCTTTTTAGGAAAAAAAAGAAAAAAGTTTATGTTAAAACAGAAAGATGTAGGCTATGGAAATAACACCTCATTCTATTTAAGCTTAACACACTAAGATTTTTCTCTTCAGTAGTATGCAGGGCTTCATTGCTTTCAGAATGGATTGTTTTTGCCAATATTTCTCCTACATCACGGGCAAGGAGCAAATTACATTGTGAGCTCTGACGAACCCATGATTTAAAAAGCCCTTTTTAAAAAAGGAAGATAAAATAAACAAGAAGCAGAAATATAGAGCAGACTTAGGATCCTGGGGAAAATTTTTGAATAAAACATCATCATTCTTCTTATACACCTCTCATTTAGATGCCTGGGTGTCAGAACACTAACATTACTTCTTCATGCACAGAATAAATAATCAGCCAGTAAGACAGGATGGAGACATGTTATAAATTGGTATTTTCATTTCTGACATGCATATTTGCTCTTCACGCCGGGCTGCCTTTCAGTCACCGTAATCTCTGGAGATGACACTTAACAGCTCAAAATGTAGCTCCTTGTGTTCCTGCAGGAATGTTTTAACTGCTCCTGAAAAAAGCATAGTTCATTTCCCTTATGAAAAAAAATAAAAAAAAAAAAAAGGAAAAAGTGGAAAATAGGACAAAGGATAAGAGAATCTTTCAATACAAATGAGCCAGTCTGAGCAAATGCTCAAAAATAGCATTATCAGCACAGGGAAGAATAACATGAGAGAAAAACCCATATATTTCCATTGCAAATCTACCTTTAACGACCTCACACACTCCCCCAGCGGTTTGTAGAGATATCATCAGTTTTGCATTAGGAGGTGTAAAATCATTCATTAATGCGCACAGAATGTTCCAGATAAAATTCATAGGAATTTCCAGTGCTCTAATGCTAATTAATTCATAGTCATTTTCTGTGACAGAAAGAACCAAGTACAATAGCAAGGTAAGTCAGTTATTTAAATAGTCATTAAGAGGGAAACATTCTTGTGCTTTTACAGAACAAAATCAGGAATGACAGCTTACAGGAAGGAAAAAGGCATCAAGGGAATGCACGGAAAGGAAGAGCTACCTGTTAAGGCATTGTGTCTAATTTTGTGCTATTGGCAACGGTGTTAGGGATACAGACTTCAGATAAGGCTAAATGCTTCATGGACACCATCCATTTCTCTTTATTGGTGAACAATTACTAAAAATAATGTAAGTGACAATAAATGGCAGTTTGCTACTAACTAAATGCTACAATATAAATAAATCACTAGGAATAGTTATCAATGAAGTGAATTAATATTGAACAGAATGGGTAATTGATTAAATTGGAACATATGAATTTTTGAGGACGTGGTCACAGATCCATATTTCAAAAGGGAATTAAAATATATTTCTATTATTACCAAAACAAAACTTTAAATGGCACCAGGAAAAAAAAAAAAAGACAGAATGTCCTAAAGTCCTAAGGGAAGACAAAAAAATTGTAGCAAAAGAAGTAGTTTAACTTTGACATAAGAATGCTTAGTTGCCATTCCAAAATGAGGTGACAGCTTTGTGGAGCCCCAGTAAACAGAACAAACACTGGTTTTCCTGCCAGCTTCAGCTTCTGCACCGACTTCAGGCACTACTGCAACTTTCTGGCATATTTCACAGCCATATATTTCAGAGTTTTGTATTTAGTCTTGATCTTAGAAATTAACTAACCATTCCCAGGAAGTATGTACTCCAAAAACTAGGTACTGAACCGTTACAGACTACTGAAGTCTGGGAAAGCACAAATTCCTAAACGAGTCTTGGGAAACACAAATATATGTTCCTATTCCTTTCTGTGGGTGAATCCTCAGTATGTTTTGCAGTATGTGGTTTGAAATCTTTAGAGACTCCAACTTACTGGGAGTGGAGTGCTCCTACCTACCACAAGCCACCTTAGCCGAGCCCCTTGACAGTAGTCTCAATGGTGAGAACAGTCAGAAACACATTGCACTGGGTCAACTTTCTGTTACAGCTAAGCATATGTTTTGAGCGAAAAAGACAATATTATTTCTTTTTGTTAAGGGTTTAGCATTACTTAATTACATTATCTGTATAAAGGATCAGCAACTTTGTAATTACAAGTGAGTTTCAGATGTCCCTGAGATAATGGACTTTCTACTTTAAAATACAGAGCAGAATTGCCTTGACTGAACAGCATTAACTTATTTCCCTGGAAATCAGTCATTTCTGTAGATATGAGAGAGGCTTTTCATGTGAGAATGTGCCATACATGTATTGGCACTGTAAATATAAGACATAATAAACTACAACATGCTGCAGCTCATTACAGAAAAAGATGAAAAAAGCCACTAAAATAAATGGAAGAAAACAAAGGGAAAAGAGAATGTATGCGAAGATGGACGTGTTTATAAATGTAATATTATTTCAAGGAAGCGAACTCAAATAGCTAGAGGAGTGCTAACAAAGTTCTCCTCACCAGCAGTTGTGAGAAATCTGACTGTTTTGACTTGTTTTGCTCATGAGTAGTCCAAATGAATCACGCACAACAGATAGGGGCTTTCCATATCACACTTCTGCTTGACAGTCACCACTTAATCGTATCCTGCTGGCACCTCTGTCTTTCCATTATGGTTCTTCCAAACATGTATAATTTATTTAACTTTGAGGAAAGCAATTCAATATCTAAGCAGCATATTTGTTCTACTGGTTTGTACTTTTCTTCTGCTCTCGCAATATAATCTTCAGAATTGAATATAACTGAAAAAATCTTTGTCTCATTCTCACGCCAATTTTATCTTCTCCCCGATTCATACATATTTGAATGTACTTGAAAGCATACTCAGATCCACAAACTACTTTTCTGTTCTAATCACATTGGTTCATGAAACTGCTATACAATAAGCTCAGGATACCTCAGGTCAGCTGAAATCCCTACAAATTAATGAATTTATAAGAGAAAATGCTCTTTGGCAGACATGATTTCAGAAATACAACTCCTGCCAAGGCTGTTCTCTCTCTGCTACATCCTCCCTTTTAAACTTGCACTCATCTCACTGTTTCCAGGAGTAAATTCATGCTAAAAGCAGGAATAAGAAGCAAAGCAGGACATGTGGGAGTGATAACTTTGCCTAGTACCTGGAACTAGGAAACATTTTAAGAAAACCAATTTTTGTGAGCTTCTTACTTGGTTGAAGAAGTGACAATAAATGCATCCGAGCTTCAAGGTGCTTCACTGCAGCCAAGAATCTCTTAACACTCAACCCCCTTTCAGGCCAGAATCCTGTAGGAAACAGTATATCACTGCTGCTCCTCTCCAGCTTCATAAAATGACTTGGTATATTAACACCAGGCTGCTCTGTGAAA